GCGTCAGTCACAAAAGGGTCTGGGGAAGACAGTGTAGATGGAGCCACCAGAGTAAGAAAAAAAACATTATACAGATTTGTTTGGGTATATTCTCTACTGACAGAAAAGGAGACAAACAACAGAGACTGATTATGCTATGAGGTTCTCAAATTTTAGTCCTCATAAAAAACACCTGGCAAGCTCATTAAAGATTATTATTTCCAGTTCCAATTCCCAGAGACACCAGTCCCTGGCCTGTAGCTTGGGAGACTGCATTTTTAAAAAAGATTTATTTATGTTTACAAGAGCTGGGGTACAGGCCAGAGGGGAGTGGGGGGGGGAGGAGGATTCACCAGAGACTGATTGGGGAGCAGAACAGGTGGATCTACTGAAATACACTGCTGAGGGGAGCAGTGGTGAGACAGAAGAGGTCTGCCAGGCCTTGTGGGTCAGCTCTATTGACCGGGGATTGCACTCTGCTGCAGTGACTGCGGCTAGTTTCCTAGTGTTTAACCTGTTCCTAGTTTTAACCTGTTGCACCACCAGGGTAGGCCAGTGACTGCATTTTCAACAAGCATTTCAGGAACTTTTGATACAGAATTCAGACTCAGGTTCTGATTTCTATTTAAATATTCTTCAAACCTCAGGAAAATAACAGTAAAAACAGTAAAAAAAAAAAAAAAAACAAAAACAAAAAACAACAACAACAACAACAAAAAACCACCAGTATACCTTTCACCAAAGTCAAGGATCAGCCAACTTTTCAATGAAGGAACACACAGTTAGTACCTTCAGCTTTGTGGGCTGTCTTCTCTGTGGCCATTGCTCACTGTCACTGCAGTACATACAGTACATGGGCTAGCCAGAATGGAAGTAGAGGAGCATTAGTATTCTAACAAGGTTATTTAAATACACCAAAATTTAAATGCACCAAAATTTAAATTTCACATAATATCCATTATCATAAAATATTATTCTTTAACAACCTACTATCTTTAAAGACATAAAAGCCATTCAGTCGTAGCTCAAAATTGGTGCCAAAAGTTATAGGCACAGGTTTAACCTATAAGTCAGTTCCTAGGTGGGATCTTTTGTGATCATTAAGACTACTAAGCTTTTGTGAGGAAAAACTTTAAATTCTGCCATCACTTGCTTTTCATATCCAAATGAATCACATTATCTTTTTGTGAAGCTGTTTTCTGACCAGCTTTGTTGAATTTTTCAGTTATGTTTCCACAGCTCTCTATGGCTCATATTTTCTGGGTGTCTGGTAGAATACAGTTCCTCATTTAGAAATTATACTTCAGGCAGTTCTCTAATTTTATCACATAAAAGTAAGGCCTGCAAATTCTTATCACTTTCAACAAAATGGTTACAACTGCAGGGGATTATGTTCAGTAAAATAAGTGAGGAGAAAGACAAATGCTAGATGATTTCACTCATACGTGAACACTAGAGGGGAAAAAACTGACAAACCTAAACAAACCTTAGAAATGTGATTGCAGAATAGAACTTGGGTGATGGGAAAGAGGGGCAGAAACAAAAAAAGAGGGGTGGGGCCCACAGTAAAGGACTAAGGTGATTTGATGGTGGGTGTGATGTGCGGACATACATCTGAGGTGAGGACCTATCCCCCTAAACCATATACAATGTTGTAAGCCATTGTCACCTCAATTAAAAATAAAAGTCAAGTTGGTATGTGCTGCCCCACAACCCTAGGACTTAACAAAGCATTCAACTTTTTTTAAAGATTTATTTATTTATGCATACAGAACTGGGGTACAGGCCAGAGGTGCAGGGGTGGTCAGAGGCTTCACCAGAGACAACATGGGGAGCAGAACAGGCAGACTGGCTAAATACACTACTGAGGGGAGCAGCGGGCGGGTCAGGAGAGGTCTGCTGCGCCATGTGGATCACCTCTCTGGCGGGGATCAAACTTATGCTCAAGTGGCTTTGGCTTCTTAGTGCTGTGCTTTAACCCACTGCACCACCAGGGAGGGCCCAAAGCACTCATTTTTTTTTAAGTTTCTTGTTCATATTTAAGACAGATACAGGTACAAAAGTAAGTCATCCAATCTTCTGAATCACTCCAATGGTCCAGAAAGATGTGGATGGCATCTTGTTATGTGAGGGGATGCCCTTCCTTGATTTTTTACTCCTCACCTTTTGTTGAAAATGGGATTTAGTTTAAAGAGTCTGCTCATTTCTAGCAAGCTGAATTATCAGCAAGGTAAGATCTGTGACACGATTACTCCCATTCCCTTCTAGGGTAACTTCTCAGTGTATTCAACATGATTTTATATCTGAAACTCTTAACAGGAATTCTGGGGGGTAAACTCTAATGCTACATCATGAATTCAACAAACAATCGAACAATGTAATCTAAGTAACTCACCTACCGGGACCAACTGAAAAAACATTTGATTAACTAAGCCCAGACCCACTTATTGAAATACTTTTCAACTGGCCTTAACCAAACATTACCTCATCTGGAAGGACTGAGCGCCTAGTTATCTGAAGCATCACTTCATTACCCACCCCTCCTCGAAACAAAGTAATCCACTTAATGGCTCGATGATGTGGTATCTTCGGATCAAGCCAGAGAAGAGGAGCCATCAATCGCCCGCCCACCCCTGCGACTAAACATCAGCTTAGCGGCTGCTTTGGAGTCTGGATTCCATAAGCCCATGTGCTTGCCTTTCATCTTCTCACAAGCACTCTCTTCCAATCTCTGAAGATATTATATGGCAGGTTGGCTCAGGTGGAGAAGCAGGGCTCTTACAGCCAAGACTTAAAACCCAAATCTGTCGATTTAAGAGGAGGTCCTGTGTTTCTCATCAGCTGGCTGATTTGTGGATGGTCACATTTCTGGATCTCGACCAATTGCCTCACCTGATGGAAAATGCTTATGAAATTATAAATCACCTCTGACTGTATTTTCCCAGTAGAAATAAAACAGATTGCTAGGTCCAACTGCTGAAATGCATTTATCAGCTTAGATGAACCATTTAACAAATTGAGAATATTAGGGACTTAGAAACTGCATTTAAAAGTTTAACAGGAAGCAATATTGAAATGCTTTGTTTAGGGGTAGGTGTTTTGTACGTAATATAGGAATCACAGAGCTAAAAGAGAGAGAATCTTTTAGTCACAAAAAAATAACATCAAATTCAGCAGTGGGTGTGTTATATTAGTGTCGAGACTCCTCAACCTGGCTGCATGTTAAAATCACAAGGGAGCTTTAAAAAGATTCCAGTGCCCAGGCTGCACCCCAAACCAATTAACTCCGAATGTAAGGTAAATGTGCAGGGTCCAGTCCTCTGTAGTTAAAGCTTCCCAGGTAATTCCAGTGTACAGCCGAGGTTAAGAACGTCTGCACTGGGAAATGTAATCATTGCCCTTCTGGAGCTTACTCATAAAATCTACTTAGTAAACAGTTTCCCTTCCTCATTTCTACCAGTAACTTCTTCACAGCTGGAATACAGAATTAAAAAAGTGACTGAGTGAATGAAACACATACATAAAAAATACATGCACACATATTTTTATTTAACTTAGGTCCTGATTATTAACAAATAAATGAGTCTAACGGAGTGCCCTGAAACTTACATATCTGCTCCAAATCTTTAAAGAACCAAACTCGAAAAAACACACATAACATTAAGTCATAAAACACACACACACACACACACACACACACACACACTTTAATCACCTTCAGGAACCATGATCCAATCATATTTAATAGGTAAGACTTCATTCATCAATATACAAAGAAAAAAAACCCTAAACTTTAAGACATGTGCCCTTAGCAAGAGCACTTATAGTTAGAAAGGTGTATTGGTAGCACTTTGAGGTAGCATATTTTGTAAAGTAACAGAAGTCACAGAGCTGCTCTGTCATTTCTCCTGGACATAAAGCGACAGGCCACTGCTGACCTTTGCTCTTAGTAGAGGAAAGAGAATTGTCTGCTTTTGCCAAGCCAGTCTGAAAACACTTCTCACCATCTCGCTATGGCCATCCCTCCACTATACTTCATGCAAGGTGGTTTAGGCAAAGGTGTAGGCATTTGGCTACTTCTTTCTTCTTGCTGAGCTCAGGCTGTGGAGCCAATCTCTTCTTGCCATGTGGAGTCCTCGCCAGTAGGAGATACAGGCACCCAGTGGGAAGGGAACCAGGGCACTGCACCATCTTTATCTAATTGGCCCTAACACTTTAAGAGTGGCTGACTCCTCTAAAGTGGGTAAGAGGTTCATTTCTGAATTATCTCCTTCATGATTCTGGCCTTTAAATCGGTCTTTCTTCCCTCCCCCCCCCCGAAGTACAAAATTGGGGGTATTATTAAGTTTTCTGCAACTTTGTGGAAGGATGGTGAACAGAAAAGCATTAAAAAAAAATCCACACATAGAAATAACAACTAAAAAGCTGGGTGTAGTAGCAACCCCATGAACAGACTTCCTTTGTGCAAGTTGAAATGACACAAGTTTACGGTTCAGGAAAAGTCTGCTTCTTTAAAAAATGTAAATATTCAGTTCAGCTCTGCATTTTAAATACAAATATACAGGCGAGACAGGCTATGGATTAAAGCTGCAAAAATGGTCCCACCAACCTCAGACCTTCATGCAGGCTGAATATTTTGCCCAATCGTCACATATTAAAGAGACGTCTAATCTCTCAAAGCCCTTTTGTCCCAGTCCTTCCTGTTTGAAAAGTTGAACCCTTGGAAAGAATCGATAAACGACTGAATAAAAATAGCACATGTCCAGGCAAAACAGGGCATGAGCTGGGCATGAGTTGCCACGGAAAGTCCTGTCATTTAGTAGTATATGAAATCTTCAAAGGCTGTCAGGAACCAGGGGCCTCGGCAGCCCCGAACAAGCCAGCTGGCCACCCAGGTCAACTGCTGATCCAAAGCCAATGGACACAACCAAGCGTAGACTTCAAGTATCCAAGGTGCTACAAGAGCGGCCCCCTAAGGGAGGCAGGTTGATTCTCAGAAGTCCCCACCCTCCCCACCCCACATCATCCATGATACAAAAGCTAAATCACTGCTCACGGTCACGAGAAAACACTGGATAGAAGGTGAGGAGTAAAAGAACTGCTCTGACTCTACCAGCCTAACAAATACAAATAAACTCTTTGAACATTTTGTACAACTAGAAGGTGCGTGAGCTGGTATTCAAGCAATCACTTTAAATTCTCTTTTCTCCCCTTTCGGTATCAAATAGGAAAATGGTTCCGTTGGGTTAACAGTGTAATTTTAAAATGCCATAAATTAAATAAGTTAGTTCACATTTTTTCACCCAGCACTTAAGTTACAGTTAGTCTCTAATGTGCTTTTGAAGTTTTCTTTAGCAGTTCCAAGTCTTGCCTGCGGACAGTGCCGGCTCTGTGGCAGCCGTATTCACCCAGCTGCAAAGGGATGAAGTGTTCGCGCAGCCCAAGGCCCTGGCCAGCAGGACTGGTCACTAGCTTAGTCCATGATGGTTTAAAGTTTCCACTGAATCCCAAAAATATGGTACTCCCTAAAGAAAAAAAAAAAAATTAAATTGACATACCTAACTAGTTCCAGGCAAGGTAACATGGGAGGTGACTTGGAGGTGTGCGAAACAAAGGTGGCTACGAAAGCAACGAAACTACAGTTCCTTATGTCAGAGAATGAACTTTCATCACCCATCCCTTGCCCCAAAACAAACCACATCCCAACACATTTCCTCTAACACTGTCTCCTTACTTAGAAATTATCTTAATGACATCCACCCCAATGAGACGGTCTGGAAGCTATATTCCACCATAAAAATACATGTATTGTTGATCTTATAAGAACTTCATAGAAAAAAACAAATACAGGCCCTCCCTGGAGGTGCAAGGGGTTAGAGCGCAGCACTGTGAAGCTATCTGCAGCCACTGCAGCATGAATTTGATCACTGGCTAGGGAGGTTTCCCACATGGCGCAGCAGACTTCTGTCTCACTCACTGCTCCCCTCAGCAGTGTATTGCAATCTACCTGTTCTGTTCCCCCCTCTGTCCCTGGTGAATCCTCTCACTCCCCTACACCTCAGGCCTATACCCCAATTTTTGTATGTATAAGTAAATAAATCTTAAAAACAAAAAACAAAAAAACAAAAAAACAAACCTTTGTTATAAAGATAAGTCGGCTTGGCTAATCCCAGAGATACTAATGAATCTGAAATATTTAACTGCTTTATTTCTCCTCTTGTGCTCAACAGTACAATTGACCTGTAATAGAAAATCAGAGCAATTTTCAATCACTCAGCATGTATTAACTACTCTTTTAAACTGATCCAGCATAGAAAGACTAGGTTAAAATGCAGAATTCCAAAAAAATAAAATAAAATTGGAGCCAGATGCTTTCTGTACCTACTGTTACAAGTTACTGCCCCACCTATGCTATTACCAGGGGAGGGAAGAAGCTCTGAACATATGGAAAACAAGATCACTTAGGAGAATGGACCTTTTATGTAAAAGGTCTACACATAGCTATGAGCAGAAAGGAGCTTGAATCCCTCCTTCTCCAGGGTATGAACAAACTCCTCATCCCCAAAAGGGAGGTATTGCACATGTACATCTTTCTTGAGAGAGCAACAAAAGAAAACTAACAAACTAGGCTTCTTACAAGAGAGAGCAATACTCATCCAACTAAAAGCTTTGCATTTTTCTAGTGACCCAAGTGATGCTCACAGGACCACATCACGACACAGTGCTGTACAGGGGTTATCAGTGGCACAGGGACCACAACAGTAAAGCGACCTACAACATGGCAATGAACCTTCTGAGTGAATTGGGTATGATGAAGTTTAACTCAATACTAAGAAGTGAATAGTAATTTTCCCAAGTATTAAGCTTTTTTCCTCGAGTAGTCTGTCTACCATTTGTAAACTCTTCTGACATCCAAGCTCTTGGCATGGATTTGCAATGGCTTGCCAATGAGCAGCTTAGCCACATGGTTTCCATCTGAGATGGGGAAAAATGAGTATCTTTCAAGTGTCCTAAATAATGCTCACCTAGTAAAAGGACAGGCAGATGAACCAAAGCTCTGAGCTAGCCACGCGTTGTCTCTGTGGTGGCTTATCCCCAGTACAGAACAACTATCACCTACCTTGGAGAGATGCCTGTTTTTAAGTATTCGTCCATGCGACTGACTTCAGCGAGAGAGAAAGACTTTTTCTCCACCAGCCGGAAGGGAACAGTGCAGGCATCCACAGTAAGGAGCAGGACACCTGCACTTCGGAAGGTGAAGTCAGTGCCATTGACCTGAGAATAGAAAAATGTCTTCTGCTGTCATCAATATCAACATTTCACTAGCTGCAGCATGACTTGTCTTTACATCCCATTGTCACTGTCTTCTAAACCCTTGAATCATTTTATTTCTAGGCTTCAGTGTGCATATTCTACTTACTCTTTCTCCACCGACATCTTTGCCTGTGTTCTCATAGACTTCACCTTGCTGTGTTGATACTGGCTGATTAAGATGTTCAATGCAAGGTCTGGATGTCACATTCTGCTGAGAGTGACCCCTGCTGCAGGTTCAGTTCTGACACATGCACTCTTCTCACTAGGGGATTTCTGACTGAGAGATCCACAGGCAGTCTGTAGCTCAGAGAGCTCAACTACAGTCCTCTTGGTTCAAAAATATGTAAATCATTGCCTAACCTCACATAAATCATCCCACTACAGCTTAGGTTTGCGATATCACAGGAGCCAGAGTACCTTATCTCTTTTGTTCCAATTACAGTTCTCCTTTAAAATAAAAATGGAAAGCCTTCCCAGTGCTATCAAGCTGGCACCAGTCACCACAACATGAGTGTGATCCCTGGCCTGGGAGCTACCCATGTGTTGCAGCAGACCACTCCTGTCTGTCCCACTGCTCCTCAGCAGTGCATTTCAGTAGCTCTGCCTGTCCTGCTCCCCACTCTGCCTCTGGTGAATCTTCCCACCCTCCGCCTCTCTGGCCTACACCCTAGTTCTTGTAGGCATAAATAAATGTATTAAAAAAAATAAATGGAAATTGAAAGTGAACATTTTACCAGAATTTAAGGCATAAGATTTTACTCTATAAACATACAGTATTCACAATTATTGTGAGCTGAAATTTCTACCTGTCCTCTTTAGGTTAATGCTTTGTGATCTTTTCAAGAGAAATGAACTCTAATCATTTCCAAATCTCATTAATTGCTCAGCAAAAAAGGAAGAAAACTTAAATGGAAAGAAAAATAATTCAATCTTAATTTAACCCATAGGCACTGTCTCTAGTTACAGTGTGTAAAATCATAAACGATACTAAAAGCTAACAAAGGAGATATGCACTCACTACTACACTTCCTTCCTTGGAAAAATTCTATTTAAATTTGATTTCTAGTCATTCTGATCTCACAGGAATCAAAACGGCTTTTTAGCTATGTTTAAATTGTTGTCATCCAAAAATTCTGAAAATTCTTGAGATGAAGTGCTATTTTATATTTGCAACGATTAGAAGTAATCACCTTATTTTTAAAAAACTGAACATTTAAAATTGCAACAGATTTAAGAAAAAACATGTAATGATCCCTGGCCAAACTGTCCTCTTGAAATGTAACCTTCAAAACCTGTTGCTTAAAGGAAACACAAACCTTTCCATACAAACTAAAGCAAAGACAACTCCTAGCAAAGTCACTGTTGGGCACGAATATGACAAATAGTGGAGGTAAATATGACAAACCTGGTCTTCTAAGTGTTCTATGACTATTCTGGGGTCCCAGGTAGCAATGTGCAGCCATGTCTTCAGATTTTGAGGCATGGCTTGCCTGGAATTTTCTTGGGTAAAACAGTTTCTTTAGTTTTCCAGTGAATTATATAGAAGTGAGACTCAGCCCCTACTTCCTTCCTTCTGCAGCTGATTCCCCGCAGGCAACACGCCAGAAGACTGGGGCTGCAGTCTTCGTGCCTCAGACTATACACACATTTCATGCCATAAATTATTTTATGAACATACTACAAAGTGAACTATCAACTTAGGGTAGCAGGAATAAACATACTTGAGGAAATTTTGAGTTTTACTTATGTGGGGATAGTTATTATTGATTTCAAGATGTTTTTATTGCAGCAGGAGCAATCTAATAGGAAATTCATCTTCTTGACAAATTTTAAGTGTATATTATTGTTGGCTGTTGGGACAATGTAAGAGCAGTTATTGGGGCTTATTTATCTTATTCAATGGAAAGTTACTGTCTGTTGATTAATAACTTGTCATTTTATTCACCCCCCCCCCCAGGAGGGATGTTCTTAGATCAGTTATTAAAAAGTCAACTTTGGGTTCTGAAGTTTGATGTTAGTAATGGCATTTATGCAATAGTGAGTGCACGACCTGTCACTGAACTAAACTATTAAAAATAGTTCAGATGGTGAACTTGATGTTATACGTATTTTTGCCACAATAGAAGAAAAAATGAAAAGATTTAATTTTGTTCAAATATCTGGGTTTTTCACCAGGATGAAAAAAAGCAAGAAGCTGCATCAGTACATACGCCAGAGGGTACTTACAGAGATAACAGAAGGGTCCCCTCGCTGAGTCTCTGCTTTACTGGGTGACTGGAACTGCACGGGGAGGTAGATTCTATGAGGATCACTAGTAAACACCACCTAGACGGGGAAGAAGGTCCATATTTATGTCATCTGCCTCTTCCTCCAAAAGGGCACCCTCAAAATAATTTCAGTTTTATATCACAGCCAGACTTTTTTTTTTGTCCTTTACCTTTCTGTATGAATTTTATGACCTGAATGAAATTCTATCTTAATACAAGAAATGCATAATCATTTTCTGGAACAATCTCAGTTTTAAACAACTGTGATCTTGTTAATGAAATCAATTCAACAGATGACCAAACTGGAAGTTATAACTCCAGGACTGAGAAAAGAAGTGCAGATGACAAGGTCCACTCTGTTTAAGAATTTCTGTGGGCTGTGCACCACCTGGTCTAAACTCTTCTACCTGATTTACAAAATGTCCCATAAATGGACTCACACTTCACACAGCCCCGTGTCCCTTAAAGACAGAATGTGTCAATAGACTATTTCACCATTGTGTCTCTGTCAGAGTGTAAGCAATCAAACTAGATGCTGCAGCCCGTCACACTCCCGTCTTGTTGGTACATCCTTTCATTTTTGACTGAATCATTGTTAAGCGAGGCATGACTACCTGCAGGCTGTTCCGACTTCCCACTGTCCCATCACAAGGCAAGGCAGGGTGCTCACAAGTGCACCCATTCTTTCCTGTCTTTCTGCATTTGCAGGCACTTTCTCCCCAAGAACACACCTTTTCTTCCTACACCTCCAAATTATTCCCACTCTCCAGGCCCCACCTCTTCCCTCCCCCTCCCCCCTAAAGGCTCTTTTCTCATTCAAAAGCACTCTTAACTAGCACACAATCTGGCATTTAAAAGTATATGACCTTATAAACTGATGCCAACAATTTCACTGCAAGAGCATGTGATTAGGATGACAAGCATTTAGAAGCTGAACATTTCTTTGGGGTTAAAATGCATGTGAATTTTCCTTTTTACTTCTACATATATTTAAAACAAGAATTAGGCCCTCCTTGGTTGTGCAACAGGTTAGGACTGCAAGCTAGTCACTGCCGCTTCAGTGAAAGTTCAATCCCTGGCCCCAGAGGTGACCCACATGGCGTGGCAGACCTCTCCTGTCTCGCCTACTGCTCCCCTCAGCAGTGTACTTCGCCAGTCGGCCTGTTCTGCTCCCCACTCTGTCTCTGGTGAAGCCTTTCCCTGCCCCTGCACCTCTGACCTGTACCCCAGTCTATATGCATAAATAATCTTTTTTTAAAAGGAACTATTTAAAAATAAATAAATAAAATAAACCAAGAATTACTCTCAAATTTCCAAGTAAAAGTAATTTTCCTATGGGCTACAAATATTCTGCCACTGCACAAAGTCAGTAACTGGTACATTTCTGAAATGCTAACTGAAAAATTTTCAAGCAGGAAGAATAAAGACTGATAAGCAATGTGTTAATTCATTTACAAGATAGATATATCGCCAATGGTTAGATCATTTTATAAATTATAACACATTAACATTCTTATTATAAATTGCATAAAAATTTTTTGACAATGAATGACTTCCTTAACAAATTCAGTTTCAGAATTAGCTGGAAGATTTACTCCCCAACAGAAATCATTTCAAAATGTCACCTTAACAATCAAAATACTACATAGACAGGCAAGTAAGCCTATACTCTTCATACAGATGATCTGTATGTTTCTTAGTTCTAGTGTATTAGAGAACAGAAGGGGTGTCCAAGACTGTGACATTGAGTTGCCACTGAAAAAACACTTGACACACATCATCTTAGGAAAAAGGACTCCATCTTCCTCTGTGTGCACTTACTGCTCCGATGAACAGAAGCTAATGAAAAAACTAGAAATAAAAACCTGATGTAGTTGACTTTACTCTCAAATCACTTAGAATGAAAAGAAATGCAAAGAGATTTGGATTCTCACAAGTTCCCAAGTGATGTTGATACTGCTGGTCTGGAGGCCACTTTGAGCACCATTTCCACTAACCTGTCTGTATTTGTGTAACAATTAACTAGGATGGTATCAACTTAGTACTTCTTTTTCACTTGGAATTAGACGGCCTCATCTGAATCTCATGCCAAATTTTAGCTTATATTTTGGATTTGCTTTCATTGTCATGTTTGCTCAGAAAAACTAGAGCCATCTAATCAAGAATATGCAGGAGCATTTCACTTCCAGCTAAAGTCGGCCTGTACTTTTCATTACAAGTAAATATTAATCGCACATGATTCAAAATTAAGAATGGCCAACTACCTTAAGTTAAAGAAAGCAATTTTATTCTACATGAGTGGTATTTTTAGAAATTTCACACTCCCAATAAAACAAATTATTTTTCTGTGCCACTGACGTGAAACATGGATAGCACTGTTATAAAAGAATCATGTCCAAGAAATGAAGGATGACAATAAATAAATCCAGTCATCTGCTGAGGGATCACAGGGAAGGTTCTTTTATTATAAAGATGGACAAGTTTGCTTCTTAGGACTGTCACAATCTAAATAAAACAGGATAAAATTCAGAAGAAAATGGCAAATGGACAACTCAAGGAAAAAAATGTACCAACTGTGGAGAAACCTTTTGACTCTTTCTTCCCAGCCCCAGCTACTGACCTGACGGGTCCCACAACCTTGACAGGGCCCCTTGAGCACGGAAGGCGTTGCCTTGAGCACAGAGGGCTTTCTGTAGTACTGGGGATATGCTCTGGCCATGCAGTTACTGACGTCTTTTGAGTCGGTTGTTGCCTGGATCTTGACTCTTTCGCATCCCTGAGATGAACAGTAACTGTGGCCATCCCTGTGGCCCTCGGCTTTGAGATACAAAAACAGCAACCTGCACAAAACAGAAACCAATCCATGGGTGTTTAGAATGTCCCTCCAATGCAAAAAAAAAAAAAAAAAATTCCTCAGGTCAATACAGGGACAAAGGACTATTCCTCCTTTTCTTTAAAGGAAAAGCCATTTTTCCTTTGAAGAAAACATGAATTACAAACCTAATAATGTCATTCTTTCCCTTTCTAGCCTTCTTAGAACCCTAAATCAAAAGCAATACCACTTAGAAAAAAATCTTAATATGTTGCTTCAGTTGTTCTGGGGGATATCAAAAATCATCTCTGGTTTGAATTAGCTCATAGGTATTTTGGGAGAATCAAATTTGACTTGGCTCAAAAATTTCTTGGAAAACTTCATATTTGTGTTAAACTTAGGATTCAGTAAATTAATGTGGTTTATTCCTTTTTTTCTAATAAAGTATTTTGGTATAAGGCACAAAACTGGAATAATAAAAACACTAACTATGGCTTGTTCATCTAAGTCCAAGATATGGTCTGAAATCAATTCCTGTGATGCTTGCTAAGAACAGATGGGCCTGGGTCCTTCTGTTTGTGATTTTGCCAAAAGCAAGCAAAAGGAACAGTCCCACCCATTCTGAATTACCCTCCTACTGCCAAGATGAACAGAAAAGTAACTTCCAGGCAGCCATCCAACATCTGTCAGCAAACTTAGTTCTTCTAAACCAAAGAAAGTCAAGATTTTATGTGATTTGATCAAATGTGATTGATTCCTGGAGATCAAGAATTGACATAAATGCAAAGTTGCAATTATGAGGTAAAAATTGGCCATTGTCTCCACATCCAGTATTTCTATCATATGTACATAAGGAACGAGAGTGACCTCATGAAGCATGGGCCTTTTGAAAGATAATTACATTGTCAAAATAAAGAGAATTAAAAAGAAACAGAATCGCAAAGACTGAGGCATTCTGAAAGTGCCCAGATGAAGACAAATTTCCTATATTTCATTAATTTGTGATTACCAGACTATCCTTACAAATTTGAGTGCTTCCAAATTTTTGTGGAAAGCAACTGAAAATGTGAAAGACTCTGTCACTGAAAGAATAGGTAGGCGGAACAAAGTCAGTCAATTAGAAGTCGAAAATCAGAGACAAAAATGATTGAAAAAAAATGCACAAAGACTTAACCCATTGGAGGAGCACTGAAAGGCAAGTGAGCTGCATTTAATTTGAAGGCTAACCAGAAGAAAGCCCAACTTCATTCCCCCATCAATTTTGCCAAACTTCTCCCCAGTCTGAGCTTTTTGTTCTATGCAAACATGCCATGCCACGTTTTTCCATGCCTCCATGCATCTGTCCACACTGTTCTTGGGACCCCTCGCCCACCTCTTCTGCCACCTCCTCTTGCTCATTCCTCAGGAGTTAGGTCCAGGGTCACCCTCTTGGGATGTCACTGGTTATCCTCAGCTGAATTTCTGGGTTACCACAAAAGGCACTGAAGATTATACTACATGATTTATGGCATGTCAGTCTCTCTAATGACTTGCTTTACATGCCCATATCCTGCAATGGACTGAGAATTCGCAGAAGAAACATGTCTAATTTACATTTGTATCTTTACAGGATTTAGGCAATGGCGTGTAATAGGAGTATCAGCTTAAGGAATGGATAATGGAGGAGCATGCTGTTTGCTGGAAGAGTACAGGAGATCGAGCCTACCATAACCCAAGGCTGAGACTGTAACAGGACAAAAGCAGACAAAGCCAACAGGACCCTGGGTGAACAGGATTAGAATTAAAAGGTGGAAAGATGCAGCCTAGATAAAGCTGAAAGCAAATATGCCATGGTTATACAGTGATTTTTAAAGCTCAAGGTCAACTTGAGAAATAGCTTTAAAGGATAAGAAACTTAAACTTTCATTAAAAATAACAACCCCATCATACGTAAATAATCATCTCATGAGTTGTAAAAAATTATTTTAATTTCCAATTGGGCCTACTGGCAGTTCTTTACTGACGAAGATAATTTCTTTCTTTAAATTGCCTTAATAGGTAGATGCAAACATCTTCATTCGAATCCCACTGCCAACTATAATTACGAGTCATTCCACTTCTCCTCTCAGACTCCCATAGCTATGAGCAGGGAATTACCCACGTCAGCTCCTTTTCTAAACAGCAGTCACATCATAGCCTATTCTTAGCTATGCTGAAGAACTAGTAATTTCACATTAAGGAAAAATAGCAATAATTCTCATTCACTGGTAGCACTAAATTACCCTGTGTTGGTGTCAAAATAGAATTTCCTCTCAGACTGTTTCTTCTGTAGCTCTTCTAGTGAGTTCACCAGCTCATAGTCTTCTGTTCTGGATAACGAGCCATTCTGTCGCTGCAGAAATCCAAAGGTCACCTGAAAAATTGTGTTGGATGGATAGCAGAGGCCAACACGAATCCAATCATTCCTGTGACAGAGACAAGTAAAAATTAATTCATATTTTAGCCAAAATCTCTTGAGCATGATAGCACATGTAAAGTTGAGCCGCTCCTCCTCTCTTTAAATTTCTGCAATGTATTTAACCACTTACAATGGTAATCCTGGACCCTGACAGACTAAGAAATCATTCACTTCTATGTACTATCCACAATTTTCTCAATCTATTTACCATAATAATATGGTTAACAAAAAATTCTTGGTTTCAAAAGGACTTTAGGCCATGTCATGTGAGCAAAAGTTATCTAAAGTGTGCCTAAGATATTGCAATTGAATAACAAAATTAAGAGAAGTGGTTAGGTGTGCACATAATAGGAGTGAAGAAACACGACGCTTGATAATAACATGCACACTGGTAAAACTACTCCAAGAATTTTTTGTGCATAAAATTATTTTTATCTTCTGTAAGTATACTAAGATAAATTCTTAGTAGCAAAATCACTGGCTGTAATGGCATAAGCACTTTTTTTTTTTAAGTTTTGATGCTTTTTACCAAATTGCCATAGCTTTTTCTTATCTATTACCTTTAGGTTAAAATGAAAACTTTTAGAGAAACATTAACAATATTTTTGCTTTTTAATCACCTGATATTTAGGGTGGCTTTTAAACTGTGACTTAAACATCCACTACAAAATTTACCACTTAGCCATTTTACACTACATTTCAGTGGCACCGAGTATGTTCACAGGTTGTGCAACCATTACCTCCTGCTACTGCCAGAACTTCTTATCACACAGGGAACTTTTAAACCATATGTAAGAAGGGCTTAAAATTGTTCACACAGGTTTTACCTAGCAATCCCACTAAAGAATTGGAAAAGTAGGTCAAAAATATGTAAAAAAAAAAAAAAAAGAGTTTCAAAGAAGAGGCAGGAGAAAAACCACCTAGTTGTATGTGGGGGAAGGGAGCAGTTAAATAAATTTTGGTGTCAGTGATGCTCAGAAAACCCCTGAGGACAGAGAAAGGAAAACATTACAAATGTTTATGATGCCTCACTTTGACTAAAAGAAATACAGATTATTTCAATCTTTCATATTTTTCTTACTTTGCTTAACGAGTAAGTACAGCTTCTAAAATGTACTTTACAAGAGAATAACTCCTAAGATGTTATTTTCAAACATGGCACTATGACAAAATCTATGCCCCCTCTATAATTAAATTGAGTTTGGAAACAAAACTTGTTCCTCTCTTCCTTTTGCCTCTACCGATGATGTAATTTTTTATGAACTTTTAGCTAGTTAAACTAGAAACATTTGACAGAATTTCAAGCCCATGTAGATTTTTGAAACTTCTGGGCACAATCTTTTTTCACTTAAAATGTTTTCATTTGTCTAGTAATTTTTCAAAAGTTATGCACAGTATTTACAGAATCCTGCACACCATTTAGCTGCAATATTGCACCTCAAATCCATAACCTTTACTCATTCTTTAACATTCCTCCTCTGCTCTTTCTAATATTAACCGGTTTCTTCCTTTGACTTCTTTGCAGCTCACAGATGGAAATGATGCATCAAACGGAACTTGCAGAAGCTCATCATGGACACAATGTGGACTAAAGATTAGAGGTGAGGAGGCCAAGTAGGAAGCCACTGTTGGGCTCCAAGCAAGACAAGATAATGACCTAAACTCAGCTACAGAAGCAGTGGAAGTAGGTACAAGTAGGGAGATTTGAATGACACTAAGGAGACAGAACCAACAGGGTTTGGTCACTCATGGGATAGATATCCAAGGGGAAAGGAAGAGTCGAGGAGTCCCATGACTTCTGGCTCAGTTGACTCAATATGTGGGTTGTGATTCTCCAGCGAGGGCAGAGAGAAGCAGCAACAAGTGTTATAGGGCAAACAGCAATGATTCAGTCTGGAGCCCGAGACCTAACATCTCAGAATAAAGACATCACTGTGATCTTCACCCATGTTGGAAGCAACCTACGAGCTGAATTCCTACATGTTCTACGCCCACCTCTGTTAATTCCAGTTGCGTGTTTTACGAGCATTCTGACAAGTCAGAATTTTGTGAGCCGTCAATTCAGCAAGTTATTTCAATTTTTCAGATCCATACCTGTGCTGGTCCACGGAGGCCCAAAGATTAACCATCATGTGACTGGCTTACCTCTGCTTCTCAACACTCCCACCTTTTCCTTCTAGCTTCCTGTTTTGCCACTACCCAATGCACCCAGTGCTCCCATCACACTGAATCTATCATTCCCCAAGCACAAGCAAAACTTTCCAACTCTACTGCTGGGGCCCTGAATGAGAAGTCCAATCAGTGAACCATGTCATTTTCTCAGGTAGCCTGGCACAATGCCCTTAAGAAAATTAGTTGCTCTACCCTTTGTCCATTAAAAACAACAGTATTGCTACTGGGTGTGTAAGTGTGAACTGCTATTTATATAGTAAAATCGTAACTAAAACATGTACATACAACTTAAAAAAAAAAACAGTATTGCAAAACAGTATTTTTCTATCTGTAAACTGTGAACTCCTGAAAGGCTTTTCTCCATCTTTACATCAACTTGCACACAATTAACACTTGCACAAATTTATGTAAAAACAGAGTCTTTGACTGAAAGTGATATTTAGGACAACAACTGAGAAGTCAAGAAAGGACACCTGCACTCACGTCACAACTTTTACCCATAGCAGACAATATCAATCAAGCACACCATTCTCATCTATCATGTCTAAACTTGTCCTCAAAAATCTTATAATTTTTCAGGTAACCAAGCGCTCAATTAAAATAACAGATAAACCTTTTTCCCATCCCAGCAATGGGGAATTAAGTAACCTAAAGCCTGCATTAAAACCTATTGGGGGCCCTCCCAGGTGGTGCAGCGGGTTAGAGCACAACACTAAGAAGCTAAAGCTACTTCAGCATGAGGTCAACCCTGGCCCCAGGAAGGACCCACATGGCGCAGCAGATCTCTCCTGACTGGTCCGCTGCTCCCCTCAGCAGTGTACTTCGTTAGTCAGCCTGTTCTGCTCCCCACTCTGTCTCTGGAAAATCCTCTCGCTGCCCCTATACCTCTGGCCTGTACCCCAGTTCTGTATACATAAATAAATAAATCTTTAAAAAAAAAAAAAACCTATTGGTAAGTGGCTTTCTACACACAATACCTTAACCATATAGAAAAAAGAAATGCTTTTAAAATTATAGGATTCAATTTGTATATAATCTCTTATTCCATCAACATAAAATATACAGCTTCCCCACCAGCACAGTACATGAAATTGGCATTCCCATCATGCTACAAAGAAGATACATTATTTTTTTTTCCTCCACTAAATTACTACTTGCTGTACTGTGGAATAATAGTAATAGAAACATACTTATTGAAGTTTATGAGGTATAGAAAAGCAGTCCGTGGTGCTGGGCCATTCCAGTGGATAGTGTAGCCCTTCTCCAGCATGATCACAGGCTGGTACTGTGGGAAGGTAGCCTTCTGATTAATGCCCCGGAGCACCATGGGGTAGGATGGATACTCGTCTCGTGTGATGGTCATAGAGAGATTCTGAGTGCTCCAGGTCTGCACGTAGACCTTCAGAAATGAAGGGGATCAGAAATTAAATTAAAGAGAAAGAAAATTTAAAGAGCTCAGCAAGCATTTGCAGCACAAAGCCAAATGTCTTTCCTTCCAAAAGAGATTTTGTGATCTGTGCCAGACTAAATGAGTGGTGGCCAACTTCATCCCAAGCTGCACTTACAAGGAAGCCTGCTTAAACTGAAATGGTAAAAATACAGGCCATGCATTCTGCTAGCCAAGGTCTTCATCATCTCTTCCATCACAACAAGCCAGCTTATTCACCAGAATATAAAACCGTTGCGGTTCATATGGTGTGTCACAGAAACCCCTCAATTTACAGAATATATATACAAAAAATTAGTAAACTACTGTGAAACCTGATAGTCTCGTGTCAAATATGAGACTTTTCTTTAAACCAATAAATGGAAATTTTAAATATCTAAGAGCTTTACTTTCAATTTTCCATGACCTACATTAGTCCAAGAAGTCATTTTTCACTCATTCCAAAAAAAAAAAAAAAAGTTATAAAGTGCTCTGGAAAAACATATTAAATTGAGACAAATTTGAAAGTTCTGATTTACCCTAACAGTATCTGAGCAAAACACAACCTTCCCCAAATGCATCCTCCAAAGAGTAAACTTTGGAACAATTTCCTAAAACAAATCAGTATCCTTAACAAATTCTTCAGAAGTATTAAAGCACTTACAGAATATTGACATTTAATCCATCATCCTTTTCTCCATTTTTCTTTCTGTCATTTCTACAGCTTTATCCATATTGGTTACTCAATTACATGTTCTTTGAATCAAATAATCTTAACTCTTATTTACCTGTGACTACTGAAATCTAATTCTTCCTATAAATTCTATAAAGACTTAAAATAGAAAAAAAAACCTTCAAACTAAATATCTTCCTTAAAAGGTATACTTAATACGTATTTATCATTTAACTGTATTTATATTTAACACACATACATATATACATCTATATCCTGCTTTCTCCGATGTCTGGGGACGTGAGGATGTACATGTAACCTTAGTCGTCCTTATGTTATCACCTCTATCACCTGGATCAATAAAGACTAGAAATTCTATTAAGATGCTTTTACAAAAAGCTAAATAACGATTGAATCTTGTGATCCAGTTGCTTCTCACTTTTATCTAAAAATACATCTTTGTGCATAATATTATACACTACTTCTAAGTAACCTTGGCTCCTAGCCCAAATTTCAAATTCTCAGAAGACAATTTCTGATCTGTGACCCTAATTTTTCAGCTTCTTTCTTTCTTCATTTCCAAGAAAAAGAGAAGCTACTCTGCTTTATAAGCTATAAGGATCAGGTTCACATGCTCAAAGACATTAGCAGTCCAAAAAGTTTATAGACATATTTATAGTAAATTTAGAAATATAAAATTTTACTAGAGTACCTACTACTTTAAGATAGACCCACCCCACACATACGAATGGCTAGAAATTAAGCTACAGCTATAACTGTAGTTACAAAAGGACTAACAAACAAAAGGACTAACAAGTTTTTTTCAACTAAAGAAACATTGGTCTGAAATATTATTTTTAGTTTTAATTCTACAATTTCTATAGATTCCTAGGTACTAGTGGGTCAATATAATTTTAAGGGACAATTCTGATGAGAATAAAATAAGTGGAAAAAAGGAAATTACATTTATTTTTTATTTTATTGTAGTAAATTCTTCATCCTTTTCTCTCCCAGAACTTACTCAAATATTACTCTATCATTCTCAGGAATGAGAAATTCCACAATACAGAAGCTGATACTTCATTAAAATCAACCAGAAAAGCTCTTCAAATATTGTCCCTCTTAAGCCTATATTTTATCAATTGATGATAATCTTTTAAAGAATTTTTTGAAATCCTCCAGAATGAAATCATTCTTTAACAGTCACGATTCAAAGTCACACACGTAATATTGAACTCTGCTTCTAGAGACCCTGCTAGAGAAGGCTGGGGACAGAAGCCACACCCCAGAGGGCTCAAAGAGTAGAAAGGCAAGCGCCCACCTGCATGGCATGCAACGCTCAGCAGAGGGGGTGACATCACAGAACCCTTCCTCAGGGAGAAGCCACCCAACAAAAAGCAATCCATCAGCACAAATCAGCAGGGAGGCTGCTTCCACCTGTTGGGGCTCTCCAACCCCAGCTCCCCTGAGAAGGTCTGTGGCTCTTCCCCTAATTCTGCTCTAAGGTTCCCTTTCCTTTATTCTTTTATCACTCTTGACAGTCTATTCTTTAATTCTGCCTTTGATTTGCCTAAAATATAGCAATAAAAACTTGAGGAACTGGTACATCCATTCTGTAATCTCTCCTATCCATGCAAATGTGCCTAGCTATTAAAATCAGTTCTACAACTTAGTGCTCTCTTCCTCAAATATGGTCAAATGCAGCAAGCACATCACTATATGCCACTTCCCTCTATGCTTTACATGTATTTATGCATTCTATCTTCACACAGCCTTCTATGAAAGGAACTATTATTACCCTTGTGCACAGGTACATAATAGCTAATTAATTTCTCCCAATCATTTAAAACAAATCCAGGCAGTCTGGCTCTAGAGTGTGTGCTTTCTGTATATCCCCTCCTAAATTAGTTCATCCTCTGATGCTGGGCATTAAGTTACAAGCACAAAGGGGTGTTTCCCAATCATAGGTATTACTTAATAACACACAGCTGAACAATGCAGGGGTTGGAGTACGACCCAACACAATGGAAAATCCAAATAATAACTTCTGAATTCTCCAAAATTTTACAATAGTCCTCTGAAAACCCTTGGGGGAATGGCTTCAGGACCTCTACCCCCTTAACCAAAATCTTCAGATGCTCAAGTGCCTTATATAAATCACCCTCACATCCACATCCACCCACAGGCTCCCTATTCAGAAATTTAACTGACTGACACTCCCTGTTGGTTGAATTGTGGACACTGAACGTAAGTGGGCACTTCAAACCTGTGTTGTTCGAGGGTCAGCTGTAGTTCCAAGATTGTCTTAGGGCTCCTTCCCATTCCACTTATTTCCAATTCTTAGATCTGCCTCTGGAAACATCTCATGTTACATGTAACCTGTTGATATTTTGCCCCCCCAAAATAAGATATTCTAGTACAGTAGAAGTAATGACCCTGAGAACAAAGAATAAACTTCCTTTCTGAGGACACAGCTGGTGCATGGCAGAAACAACCACCAAAAAACAAACAAACAAACAAAAAACAGTAACTGACTTAAGAAATACAGTTTCTTTATTTAACCAAGGGCAAAGCACTTCACGTCTCTGAGCTCATTTCACCACTTGCTAAAATGGATTGGAGTAGGTCAGCTTTTAAATAAAATTCTATGAGACCATGATTCCTAATGAAATTTTTTTTCCTAGAGAAAAATCACACTTTGTAAAGTTTCAGTCACAGCAAGGAGTGAAAAGCACCCCTTCAGAAACAGAGCAGCCAGCCGCTGGCGAGAGTCGGCCACACAGCATCCTCTGGCCTACCTGGGCATAGTTTCCGCTACAGATGACTGCGTTCCATTTGGTCATGTTCATGCAGCTTGGATGGCGGATCAGGTAGTTGTCAATTCTTCCCACATAAGCATCCTTGTATCCTGTGACAGACCCATCAACGTCATGGAATATGGAGTTTTTATCACCATCCAGCTCACAATCTTCAAACCAGGGGCCAGGCTTTCCAAAGAAGACATTCAGAGAGACCTGACAACGGTGAAGAACAGGGATATCACTAGGGGAGGGTTCCTGCCAGCCCAGCTGGCGTCCCTTCAACTGCTCTAAGGTTAAATGCTGAGTCACAGTGCAGAGGTGTTAACTTCAGTGCCAAGTCAGTAGGGATTTCCGACTAGTTGTGAAATGTTTTGGGGGGGGGACCCCAAAGCCTTGAGTTCAAGTGGCAAATATTAAATTTCATCTTTGACTTTTTCTACTTAAAAAAAAAAAAGGTACTCTCCAGTCCAAACAATCTGGTGAGATCACATCAGTTCTGTGGTGAAACCACAACTACTACGGGAAGAACTATGCAATCAGACATAGTTGCTAAAAATCATAAATTGTGCATTTAAGATCTGTGCTTTTCCCTTTATGCAAATTCTAACTCGACTAAATCAAAATCTACTATCAAAGGCTCATCTTCAGTGCTAATCCTTATATTTCACTTCAAATGTTTATGCTTTCATTATTTGTCCACCTCCCTCTCCACCAAAAATAAGCAGGGTTCAAAACAGATTTGTGCAGTGGGGTCACCACTGAGCTCGCCAGTATCTGCTGGAAGTGTGTCACTTTCTCTCAACACAGAACCAGCTCAGCTCAGGACTTTTCATGTCAGGTAGAGTTAATTCCAAGCCCACAGTGAGCACAGAGCTGGCAGTTACAACATAGGCTGCAGGTGACCCTTGCCAGTCTTTAGCTCTTTCTTACTAGTGAGATATTGCTAATGTGCCTCAAGTCACAAAGAATTACCTCTCAACACTTTTATGCATGTGTCACTGAGCATCCAACGATGAGCCATCAATGGAAAAAAAATGGTATCTGGGACAAACGGTTCTAGGTTCTTTGCTGTAGATTCTTCTCTCTTTGCCCTTGTGCCCCATGATAAAATCTAAAAGAATTTTAGCATATAACTTCCACCTTTTGAGGCAGAATAAATTTTGCAAGCTGCACCCTTTATAAATTGCTTCCACAGCTTCACTCCATTGACAACTCTAGGCCAATGGAACATTAGACTTCAGTGGCATGAATTCGCCTCGCTGTTAGAACTCCAGGACTCAATAACAAATGCAACATCCAACAGGTTGTTTCTTAGCTGACCATATCAGTGGCCACTAAGCTACATCAGGGAAGGTCTACACCGGCAGTAAGTGAAAAGCCAGTACCCAGGTCAGCTAGAGAGCTGACCTGAGAGCCATCGTATTTACCTAAGAGGGAAGTTATTTACTGTGAAGTCCTCTCCTTCCCTTGGAGCCTATGGCCTCAAAGAGAACCAGCTAACAGGGTTGACATTCTAACTTGCACCTGAATCTCTATGCCCTAGCTATTCTAGAAAACCAGACATAAACTTTGGCAAACAATTCCATGTTCTGTTTTAAATGGGGCAACCACAAAGTTTGTGTGTGTGTGTAAATGAAAGAACTATGGGCCACTTTTCCACAGCAGCTGCCTGAGACCAAGAACTGAGACGTCTAGACTCAGCCTCTCTACCCCACTGCCATCTCAGGACTGGTATAACGGGCAAGGCTGGGTTATGTAAACAGATTGTCCTGTATCTTCAAGATCAGGGGACACTGATGAAGCTGCTAAAACTATTCTTGTGGGTCCTGCATTATAAACCTGTACTTCTAAGTCTTAGTTGCAATCCTCATAAAAACCTTCCAATCGTTTACATATCAGAAATAATATAATTGGGGTATCATACACCCCAAGTATTTCTCTTCTTTCTCAACTTTCCATCATCTTTTCCCCCAGAAGAACAAGCCCTGGACAAGTAAAATAACAGGTAGAACCCAAAATTCTATGTGGGTTACGGCACTGAATTTTCACAAACCCTATGACCTCTCACTTGTAGCACACTACACCCCCCACATTATCACTTTAAGTGATTTTTCCCTTTCATGACATTACTCAAATGTCAAAAATACCCCAAATGTCAAAAATACCCCAAATGCACATGGACATCTGTTTTCATGCTGAAGTCAATGGGACAGAGGACAGAGAGTTAGGAGTTGCTTTCGCATATATTTCTTCTCCCAGGAATAAAGACTCCATGCAAATCCTTTGTGTTGTCTTTGGGACACACAAAGACACACAAATTTTTTGTGTCTATCTCAGATACCATACAGAGCATTAGAACATACCTGTGGACCAAACTTCACAAGGGAGATGTTATTCCTGGGGGTTATCTGCCAGGGATTCTTCATGAGGAAGCCAATGGCACTGGTATACCTATCTGGCGTTGGCACATATTTTTTGAAAGTGCACCTGCTGAGATGAATGGGCCCATCGTATATCTGAAAGCCTCTAATTGGGAATGTCCTGTTGAGATACAAAATTTAATGTGTGTGGACCTATCTCCTGAACAGCACTTGACCAGCATACTTGTTTTATGGATACCTTGTAAGCACAAAAGCACAAAATTAGCATGTAGAGGTAAGCAAGAAAGATCGTGATCAAACGAGACACATACAGTAGCAAACGCAAATATAAACAAAGGATAATTTCACATAATAAGCACTATGGAGACAGTAAGATACAGTAAAAATAGTTTGGATAGGTAAATGCACTTCTTGGGACAAAGGAAACTTCCCTGTAAAGGTGATTTTGTTTTCTTTGAATCAGCTCCATGAAGATGTTTTATTTGGGGATTTCATATACTTTATACATATAGTTCAAGTTGAAAAATCTCTAGCATGACAGCAAAAGATAAATCTGATAAAATAGAGAACCTTCTTTCAAGTCACTAAATGATAGTAATAAGATTTAATGGTACATTTCAAAGGAGAAAAGTATAAGTCCTGACGGGTTACTATGTCAAAGTGGATTACTAGATTGAGAAATTCGTTTATTCATTTTCCTTCTTTCTGTTTAAACAAACTCCTTAACCTACTAATTACATATCATTAACCATAATTAATGTACAAAGTCCATAATATTCTGGCTCCCTTAATTTCTATTACATTCATGCAATGATATTTGCAGAGGATTTCCATAGCAACTAATTAGTTTACACCTTGGCAGCATTTTACAATAAAAGTGTGAGTGTGTGTGTATATTATATATGTATATGTAATATATATCTATACTTATTTTTGCAGGAAAACCAAATATTCTGCTTAATAATCTGCACTTTGTGATGCATCCATTTCTAAGCCTATGTCCCCAAATGATCCTCTCCCATACAAAAGGTTATAAACAGACAGTAAAATAAAAACTAGATCATTAACCAATGAGAAATCTTTGTTATTGAAAAACTCTTAGTAAAAAAACAATATTCATTTTGTAATTAAACAGAGGGCCAATATAGAGAGGCAAGAATGGGCCTGATTTGGCCACCATCCTACTGCAGCCTAAAACCCAACACAGTACAGGGTTTTACAAAAGTCTCCACATTAGAAGCAGCAGCAAGAGCCTAATGGTGATGAACACAGCGCTAAAGCCAAACTAAGAGAGTTTGAATCCCACCTCAACCATTTTAAGTAAGTTACTCATTTATAAGGTGGGAAAAGGACAAGGAGAAAAGTTTTCTTCAGGTTTTGCAACGACTGGGCAAATAACAGAACAGAGTCTAATACTGCATAAGCTTTTAATAAATACAAGTTATTAAAAATCCGTGGAGTTTCTCTCAAAGTGGTCACACACAGGGCTCAGCATGTAATGATGCTCAAGGTTCCCCAACCTCAAGTGCAAGGAAGAAAATCCCAGCATAGCAACCCCTGACTGGAAGCTAGCAAAGTCCTCTCTCCAACCCCACCTTCAAGTCCCCCCCCCCCCAAATCAACGGTGCATGTGCCCTAAAGTCCTGATCTGCCCAGACCTATGTCAGACACAGGGTAGTTGTCTCCTTTATGGGAGGTGGTGCTAAAAGAGTTCAGACATTAATTCTGGCAGAAGGCCTTTAGAACACTAAAGCTTCTCCACTTAGTATTCTCTTAAGAAAAGAGGAAGACTCCAGACTGCATCAGAACTGAGGTATTGAGGTATGCATTAATTATTTAATAGCTCCCTCAAGACTCTAAAGAATTTTCCAAGTGCTAAATATTATTTTAATGATTCTATGATTTTGATAACACAAAAACAAATCAAAAGCCAGTCCCAACCCGCTGCAGCATCCTGAGACTCTCCTTTCCTAGACTCTTTTCAATAGGGAGTTTCCTTTCTCAGTAGCTATTTCTGAAATTGAGGGGGCAAAGGCCCAATGTCATAGCTTATGGTTATAGCTTATGGTTTGCCAATTTCATGTGGCTCAAAAATGAAAGTCAAAAGTGACCAGTTTATATAAGACCTTATAAAAAAGCATGAGAATAAAGGTAGGTTTCCTTTCTTAGAACACTGGCAATGAAATTGATGAGGTTTTTAATAATTGATGTTCCAGGATTCCAGAGGCCAATGCAGAAAATATTAATAATAGTAACAGTAGCAGAGTGGTGACAAATCAATGATAACAATCAGTCAATAATGACAATGATGATGATGAACAATTTGCTGCCACTAATACATGCAATTCCCAGATTATTCCAGAAACCTCCATAATGGTTAGGTTACAATTTATTGTTTAAACTTAATATTCTACTACCACAGCTTACCTGTTCCTGGGTAACGTCCGAGGCTTCTGGTCTATTCCTCCAGTGCCTACGTACTTGTTCTGGCCACCCTGAAAGCCATAATTCTTGCTCTCCCCAACAAAAAGGGATTCAGAGACCTCCTGGCTGGACCCTTCGTCACTGGGAAAGCTTCCATCACTGATAAAATGCAAATAAAAACCACAAATGAAGGAAATTTAAAACAACCTTCAAATTTTAAAAGTTAAACGTTTCAGAACAGATACTAATATAATACTATATTGTAATTTTTATAATATATATTTCAAGTCATCAAACAGTGTTTCTAAATTGTCAACCTATCTTTATAAATTAATATATGATTTTCACATTAAATATAAAGAAATTTAACAGTGACAACTGATTATTTTATCATCATTGTAAGCAACAATATGCAAATGGGGAGAACAAACTTGCCTAGGATATAACAGTTAGATGATAAAAATATTTTAGATACACGAATAACTATTATTTGGAGTAAAATACATAACAAAAAATTCAGTTCTTACAAATCACTGCAAAAGTAGAGCAGCTTCTAACGAAAGTTATTCTGCTCTCAAGTTTTAATCCCTTCCTCTATTTCTCTTAAGTTTTAAAAATGTTAGTCTAAATCCAAGTGTTTTCTTCTAAGCAAAGTTTATGCACCCACCGTTTTGTGGAATTCCAACAATATTAAACAGTGAAGTTGGTATGAATTCAATTAATCAATAGTTCAGTCCTCTAGTGGTATCAATTTTTCTCTGTGATTCTAATAAATGATAAAACTTTCTTGTGCAATACACACAAAAAATACTTACTGTGCCTTACATTTTAAAATAATCAGGTAAGTATTTTTAAGTAATTACAAACCTGGCGAAGGTCAATCCTATTCCATTATCTGAAAATCTGTAAGGAAAGAAAATATGAAGAAAATTCACATTTGCCACAACAGGTAAAAAGACATAATTCTCCCAAAATTTAATTATCATGAAATCTAGAAGTTTCCAATAATGATTATTATTAAATACTACAAAAAAAAAAGTTTCTCTTTATAGTAACTAAAAGCACAGACTCCACAGGAAAGGCACGTGCTTTCAAATCAGTTTTTCCACATGACCTTGTGCAAATGACTCACTTCTGTTTCCTCACCTATAAGCTGAAGTTATAACCTACCTTGTAAGTTGAGAGTATTTAACATAATAATTTATATAAGCCATTTAGAAAGAACAGTGCCTGCCACACAGTAAGTAGCATATGTCAGCTGTTATTTTTTGGTAATTATTTTTAAACACATTTAGAAATGGTATCTTTTTTTTATTACTATCCTTACCATTTTTATTTATTTATTTTATAGTATAATAGTTTATTTTTACATCATTTTGTGCCTTCTTAATCCCCATGGGATTCCACCACCAATTCACCCGTGTGCCATCACCATAGCCCAGTGCACTTCCCCCACCCCATTTTTAATGCCATTCCCCACTCTACCTCTGTAAAGAAATGGGATCTTCTTTTAACAATTTTCAACATTAATATCCAAGTGATTGTTAATTGCTATGAATGTAATACACTATCAGTGTTTTTGCATGATAAATATCAGGGATGACAGTGAAATGCCAAGAAATTAATGTCAGTGCAAGGAAAATATGTTTTTCTACAGCTATACACCAAATTTTAATTTAACACATACTACATTTCCCCTAACATGACACAAATGGAGAAAAGTGAGATACTGCCTGCTGCCTCAAGTCATGTTAAAACTTTAGTCAACAGACTTAGTGAGGTGGAATTCATAAGGTTTGTTCTGAATGGCAGAAGATCATCAGGAAAACTTTAAAGAATCTCCAGAGGTGTGTGGCGGGGGGGCGGAATTCAGGTAGTTCCAAAATCTTTATTTAAGTTCTCCGACCTAAACCATATTTATTATATAAAATTAAATTCCCAGTTTCCTCCTCAACCTCATCACAATATTTTGTCAACGGGCGAGTTTAGCTTTCCAATAAAAGCAGTGAAATGAGACAATTGCAAACATTTGCAGTCTGTGACCTCTAGCACACTTCCCCAGAGCTTGCCTGATTTGTAATAATAACTTGCTTCCAGAAACCATCACTGTACTTTCAGTTTTTAAAAATAGCTTCAAAGAAAACTACATCACAATGCCATGAGATGATGACTTTGTGGATAATACCCACGCTGAATTCTGAACAATGACATCCCCTCCTCTGACCCAAGCTCCGTTGTCATTGTTTTTGAAAGCAATAAGCCTGTCAATTAAAGCAGCAACACGTGGCTTTTCGGGGTCTGCATCCTGATGAGGTCGAAACCTTAGAGTTAAGGAAAAATAAGAGAAAGAATGGCTTTTAAATACTAAAAAGGCAAATTACCTACTTATAATTATAAGCTTATGTATCAACAATCTAAATTTGATCAAAACTGAAAAATTTAAGATCCAAATTAATTTTCTGCATTCCAAATATTGAAAGAAAAATCACATTCATTTTACATCCAAGTTTCCAGAAAAATGATCTGATAAATTCTTATTTTTTTAATTAACATACTATAGAACGGATATTTCAGAACATGAAAACCACTGCCTAAAACACAAAAATCTCAAACTATAAAGACTGGCATGGTTTTCTCACAAATTCTTCACCTACAGAATACTAATATAAACTTCTTGAATGAATTTATCAATTTCAACATACATATATATTATATATGTGAACTAGAGTACAATTTGAATTGTATTCTAGTAAAATATTATATTAATGAAACTATGTTCAATTTTATGTGCCTAAAATTCAAAAGATTGTACCTCATTCAATTAACTGAGTAATTACAAAGATTGAATTTATCTTTCTTCCTCTTCTTTCTAAAATATTAAAATACTAACTTTCGTTTCTCTTCTTAATAGTCGGTATCAAAAACTAATAACACAAATGAATAATTCTACAGGGCTTATTTTTTTTTTTAAAGATTTATTTATTTATTCATACAGAACTGGGGTACAGGCCAGAGATGTGGAGGGTGAGAGGATTCACCAGAGACAGAGTGGGGAGCAGAACAGGCTGACTGACGAAGAACACTGCTGAGGGGAGCAGCGGGCGGGTCAGGAGAGGTCTGCCACACCATGTGGTCACCTCTGGGGCAGGCGGGGATTGAACTCATGCGGAAGCGGCTTTAACTTCTTAGTGTTGTGCTTTAACCCGCTGCGCCACCAGGGAGGGCCATACAGGGCTTATTTTTAAAAGAGATCATTTCTATCATAAACTTATAAAAGCTGGGGTTTAGGAATTAGACAACTTCAAAACCAATTCATCATGCTAAGATTTTTATTCATACAAACAGGGAAAATTATTTCCACAAATGCTACTGTCATAGTTGCTGGAACACAGCAGGTGCTCACAAAATATGGATGGGAGAGGACGGTATGACAGAGAACAGCAAATGCAAAGGTCCTCAGCAGGTATCTCTGACCTAATGGGTAAAAAGTCTGACTTTGAGCCCTCACCCACTCTTCTGGCAGATAGCTTTGTGGTCATTATATAACACCAAGCAGATGAAAGAATTCTGGAAAGGAAAGTACACAACATCCTCAAAGAAAGCCAAAAAAAAGTTGTTTTTTTTTTTAAGGTAACATCCTTTGCTGTAGCCATCTCATCTCTTCTGAAATTCCTATCTGGATAAATTAATCATTGGCCACTTGCAAGGATTTACTATATTTTCATCCCCTTTCCCACTTGGCATGTAAAATTACAGCTTATTTTCCCATCTGTGAGATGTCTGCACACTTCCCAACCCTCTCTTAACTGTCTTCTTCCTTCAGTGAGTTAGGTGGGTCTTGTGTCCTTCCAATCTTAGACAAAATTTCCCAACTGCAAACCGAGAACTTTCTGGAGTTAAATTTCCCATCTTTGAATTCTGATAATTTCACATCTCAAGCACACAAGGGAACAGCTCATCTGATTAAGTGTTAAGTCAACTCCCCTCTGATGAAAAGACAAAATATCTTGGGAATCTTAGGAGTCTGATGTTTAATTCATGACCTGACTTATTACTCATCTGTACTAGAGTTTTATCATTTTTATGCATATTGGGATGGCATGAATATCCATGGGAATAGCCTATATATTAGTTTATACAAAACTAAATATATAAACCAGCTGCCATATGTGTTGGTCCTCTTCTCCTACAGTCAATTCTTTTTAATAACAACTTCCAAATGTAATCCAATTCCTTACTAACATTTATGCATTTCTTACCTGGTAAGAGAAGTAAATATTGGTGATCACAAGGAAAACTACCACTATCATATTACCACATTCACAGACCAGGTAAAGAAACTTTTAGTCTATTATGGATATTGTTTTATTGTCAAGTCTAATTAAAACATCAATGGATTTTGAAATATATTTACCCATCCATGTATTCACACACACAATTTTTTAAGGCAGGGAAAAGTATAAATTATGGGGAGTGTAAGTGTTTTTCCTGTTATCACTAATCTAGCAAAGTACACAGTACTAGTTCTAGTAGTTCTAATAAACTCTTTAAAGGCTAAAAAGGCAGCAGTGACTTTCTAGTAAATATTTGTTACTTAATAGTCTTGGCCTGAGTCACAATTTGTTGTCATAGCTCTAGGCTCCTTTTTCCTCTAAAGTTATTGCCTCAGTTTCCCCATTCCTCATCTTGATCATTTATAAGTTGGTGTCTAATACCTTGTGTTTTCGATGTCTACACACTGGAGCTTTGGTTGCAAGGTGAGTGAAGCATGTGCACAAACAGAGCTGTGAAGTGGTACTCCCCAAACTATATACTTATGTAAATGGCCAGCAAGTCAATAAAATTTGAGAATGAATAGGGCCCTCCCTGGTGGCGCAGCGGGTTAAAGCACAGCACTGAGAATCTAAAGCCGCTTCTGCATGAGTTCGATTCCCGCCTGCCCCAGAGGTGACCACATGGCGTGGCAGACCTCTCCTGACCCGCCCGCTGCTCCCCTCAGCAGTGTACTTCGTTGGTCTGCCTGTTCTGCTCCCCACTCTGTCTCTGGTGGAGCCTCTCACCGCCCCTGAGCCTCTGGCCTGTACCCCAGTTCTGTATGCACAAATAAATCTTTAAAACAAAAAAAAAATTTGAGAATGAATAAACAAACAAATAAAACCAGACAGCCTGCTCACAGTTATGAGGCATTGCAAATTCTATCAGATCATTGCTTTAAAATACTTCAGACTCAATTTGACCTTTAAAAAATCCTGGTGAGTAATTTTACCAACTCTATTTTCCACATTATCTCTGACTTCATGCCTTATTACCATTTACCTAGGATCCTGCCTCACACCTAATTCAACTCACTGACCTACAGTGTGGCTCCTACTTTATTTATTCCCTAGTCAACAACAAGTGGGGACCTTTAAATGTACACCAACAGAGCCTATTAAATCTAGCACCTTTCCTCCAACTCCATAAGCTGGCCAATCCACTTGAATTATGGAAAAATAACATGCACATGGTTTCTACAGAATATGACTTTAAGTTGCCATCTTTTGCAGAAATTTTTATTTCTATTGGAGACATTTCATTTATTTTGGCCCATACACAGCATGTAAGAGAACTGTGCTAAAATGCTGATCCTGTCCCAACCACATTTTATGGCTTATAAAGGAGAGTAACACAGAGCCTGCCTTTGATGTGAATCGGAGGCTACAAACAAGTGAACCAAAACCAGTGTGATCTAGTTTAAGACCTTTCCCTTTGAATTAGATTTATTGCAATGTTCCATTTTTGCCACTAACAATAAACTCTATATGCTTTGGTGGTCACGGATTACACTAAAACAACTTAGCTTAACTTCTCTTCCAATGACTCATATTCTAGCTTAGGACAAACTTGGGACCCTTTCAACATATCTCTCTTCTTTTTCTTTTTCCTCCCCCTACTGTAATATCAGTTTACACTGATGAGAAGGGGAGAAAGCAGCAGCTTCTCTGGCATCTCAGTAAGATAAAAAGTATAGTCAAAAAACAAAAACAAAACAAAAAAACAAGAAAACAGTCATAAGGCCTAGGTCAGCAGCAGAATAAATGTTTTTCAAGAACACTCCACAAACTCTGAAAACTTCGTATAAATGTGTTCTGAAGAAAAGGGCACAATGGAGCAACTTGGAAAGTTTTGCTTTGGCAAGACATGGCTTTAGTGTGGTTTAAAAAGATCAGCTCTACCTTGCGCTGTTATCCAAACATAGGTATTCCCTTGGGTCAACAGCACTGGCGTTGCTTGTTTTTACACCTTTGTCAATAAATAGCCCAGCCTGAAAAACATAATAATGAACTGATATGAATATGATTCCAACTTATAGCAACAAATATAATAATTTACAAAATCTGTTTTATTACCTCTCCAAAAAAGAGGGGGAACAAAGTACACAGCAAAGCATAAGTATTATGAAAGTACTACTTTCCTGAATATTTTTATAATTTTACTTATTGCTTCAACAAATACTTATATAGTGCCAATTCTGTGGTAGGCAAACTATAAGAGTCATGGTCTCTGCTGTTACTGAAACAGAAGCCACCAGCAAGCTATACAATTAAATAAAAACAATTATAGGGGCCTCCCTGGTAGTGCAGGGTTTAAAAGTCTCAGAACTACCAAGCTATCACCAGCCACTACAGAACGAGCTCAATCCCACGCCAGGAAGCTGACCCACATGGTGCAGAAAACTCCTCTCTCGCCCACTGCTCCCCTCAGCAGTATATTTCAGCAGATCCTTCTGTTCTGTTCCCATTCTCTCTGATGAGTCCTCTCACCCCCTGCACCTCTGGCCTACACCCCAGTTCTTGTATGCATAATTACATAAATCTTAAAAAAAAAAACATAAACAACTATAATCCAAAATGAAACACATGATAAAGAAAGTACGTGGCACTTTGGCAGCCCATTAAAAGGGCACCACGCTGAGATCTTTTACAAAGGTGAGAGTGAAAAGATCCTCCTGAAAGAAGTGACCTCTTGAAGGTAAACTTTGAATGAAGGATGAAGAGGAAGGGACAAAAGGGAAGAGGTGGATAGGAAGTGACGAAAGGACCCAGGGGAAGTACTCAGGAGAATGATTTCTACAAGAAGCCTAGTAAGAGAGGCTAGCACAGGTAAAGACAAATAAATCTTCTATGGATTACTGAATGGAGGAAGGAAAGGTAAGAAAGAAGGACAAAGAGAAGCAAATACTAGCACTAATTTGTTAGAGATAAGAAGATGGGACTTTTAATAAAGGCAATGCAATCAGCTGCATTTTAAGAAATACTCTAGTCAACAGGTAAGTAATGGACTGGAAAGGACAAAAGGAAAAAAAAAAAAAAGGCGGGGAAAGAGATAAGGGAAGAGACAACTGCAGTAATCCAGAAGAGAAATAAAAATGACCTAGACTTGTTGTGGCAGTTATGGGAAAATGGAGAGCGGGATAATTCCTTACTAGGAAGAACTGTAGCATTTAGGTCAATGGCCTCTGAGGAGTGGGAGCAACCAAGGTTCATATATTTATAGCTCGGGCAATTAGGTGGCTAGTGATTTCACTCACTGAAACAGGACTGTGGGTATGAGTTTGGGTATGAAAAAGGATTTTCAGTTGTAATATATTTTATGTATATGTTCAAAACTGGACACACAACAGTACTTAGTAGGCATCAGACATCATGAACCACATGGCAGCTTGGGACACATGAACAACTGAAGCCACAGTGGCCAGTGTTTGTGTGTTTAACACATTCTGAGGATTCCAAAGGTTCCATTTCCTTTGCCTATAGAGTATCTTTTTACATAATCAGGCCCAAATTTAACAAATTAAAATCAGATCATCCACTCATTATTTAGATCTAAGATTCTTACAAGAAATCTTATAATAATTTTAATATGTGTTCCTGGTAAAGAACATAGAAATACACTGCTGAGGGAAGCAGCAGAGCGAGACAGGAGAGGTCTGCTGTACCATGTGGATCACATTCCTGGCTGGGTATAGAACTCATGGCACAGTGGCTAGTGATAGCTTGATAGCACTGTGTCTTCAACCCCTGCACTACCAGGGAAGCGCCCTCTCTCAAGTCTTCATCAAGTAATTTAAGCTCATCAAATTATAACATGCTTAGGCTCTTAAAGGGTCCTCCAAGTGTCATAAATGGTTAAGTATTAATTTAAACTTTTTTTGTGGAAGGGGGTGGGATGCCAAAACCTGGAATGGAATCCACGACTTTTTAGATAAACAGAACTTTGATGTGAATTCCATCAGAGTAACAACCTGGGCATTCTACCAGATAATAAAAGTATTCAAATGCCTTGGGAGACTGAAATAGACCAAATGGACTTATTCAACATAGTGCCAAGTTGCATATTAGTTAGAGCTCCTAAATGGCCATTAGTTTACTTGACCTGTATCATTTAAATTAAGTCAAATATTTTTCAACAATATTTCACAGTTCACATAATCAGTATCAAATGCACAAAAGGGTAACTTACAACACTGTGAAGAGAGGGGAGTGAGGGAAAGCTGCGCTCCTCAACTCCCAGAAGCCATTATCGAAGCTGTACATCCTTAAACATGCAATGATGTTAAAGATCGGGAAACAGGGGAGAGAGAAGAGGAAGGAAAGAAACAAGGGAGCAGATACGGACTCAAAGGTCATGTCCATTATTATAATTACTCATACTGCATATGCATGCATTTGTTGAAATGTACTCCTGTGCTGCATATAAATGGAAAGCTGTACATACCTCCTGACCATGGCAGGTCAGGTGTCTGCTTTGTTAATTAAAAATACTTATTCTCATGACAAGTTCTACCCAAAACTAACATTTATCAGTTATAATTACAGTAGACCAACTACCCTTTATCTTATAAATTATATGTGCTTATTATCAATACTCAGGAACCTACCTTAAAATTTGAATGGACCCTGTTGTTATAAAATACACCCAAAGGAGTAAGTTCAGGTTTCGCTAAGAGCTGCAATCCACTGGACTCCCCAGTAGGCTCCTTGTGGAATAGATACCATATCCCAGCATCCTATCATTGAAAGAATGAGATCATTAAAAATCTCATTTTATCAAGTCCCTCTATGAAATACCCTCAAATGCTGCTTCACAAATTAAGTTTAATCTTTTAAACACTGATTTTCACTGTTGCAGGTTTAGAAATGACTCTAAAAAGTAGCTTTATCAACTTAGAACAGTATACTGTTGTAGAGTTCATTCAGGACATCCTTTCCCCCTACAATACCACTCTTCAAAATAAGCAAATTTTTGTAGGATTGGGTAAAAGGTAGGAATCACTGGCTAATACCAATTATTTTCAAAAATAACTTTTCCGTCATTATCTTGAAAAGTTATGCAGAATTAGAACCTAACAAGCCTTCCCTGCTTCCTTCCATGTGACCAACACAGCACAGTCTCTTAGCAAAAGAGTTTTTTTTTTATTCTGTTTACCTCCAAACCTGATCAATAGATGAATCATACCCACTAAAAACTATTCACCAACATGCAGAGCTCACTGACTTCTTTCAAACAACTCAAATTCTGCTTCCTGCCCCCAGGCAAAATTTTGCCAAAGAAAAAAACCACCACACGCATGAATCAGGATGCTGTCTCAGTCTGGATCCTGTCTGTTCAATTTTAATGTTACTGACCTTACCAGGAAGAGCAAAACAGTTTTAAAATGTCTGATATACAACAATACATAAAAATCCAAATTAGATGTTCTTAATCCCTGTAATAATTTTTTACTTTAAAATTCAATTAAAATCCAGCCTGATAGGAAGGACAGCTTCATATTATGGGACTTCGATCCAACAGATTGTTAAAACTTAAACATACAGTCCAAAAGAATTTATATTTCATGCCCAACTGTTGAATATATACTTTAGGTCCAACTGCATGTCAGGAACACAGTCAGACTCTTATCAAAGGATTTATGAAAAATATTGTGAAAATTAAGATAGTATATGCATAATAAGTATTGTTTGTTTTACCTAAGTCTTTTGGAAACATAGAGAAGAGACGAACTGTAAAGCACATATACATACATACCAAAATGAAAGATGTAGTTAACATCTTTCCACAATAAGAGTTTACAAATAGGTCTTGATAAAACAAACTGTTCTGAAAAATATGTTTCCCACCTGAACTCTTTTGCACACAGACAGACAACAGAAAGAACACTAGGAGGATTGTCAACAGGCTCCATAACGCAGTCCTGTGAGCTGCGGGCAGGGCACACTCCCCACCCCCAGGAAGCCGTGGAGTCTGGGGATGAGAACTGGAAGCGGGGGAGTTGAGGATGGCAGCTGTTTCAGGTTAAACACTGGTGTCAAAACAGGTAAAGGGAGCTTTGTTAAAGTCAGTGGAAACGTACAAGAAGAAAGGATCTGATTTACTCTGGGAGAAAAACCCTTTCCAACAGCAGGAACTTTACAGGAACAGTTTTTTTTTTTTTTTTAAACTGAGAGAAAATAACCCAAAGAATGAAAAAGAAGAATGCATGCACATCTATTAGAATTGAAGTCTGCTTTCTTTTCTCACATAACATGAATAATGGAAACCTGAAATAATGAAATATCCAATCTTTCTGCCCTGTCGAATAAAAAATTTGTTTTATGTTCCTTAAGAAAATTAAAGACAGGAATTCCATATTTATCCAGGGATTGATACCCATTTTCTGGTTATTGCAAAGAAATGTTTTCTTCAACTAATCTTTCATTTCTCCCTGGGGAAAATACTAAGTATTTCTTTCCTTTCAAAAATTTTAATAACCATGATGTACAGACATGAATGTTTAGGTTTTACTGAAAAGCTAATATTTCTGTATTCTGACTTTGAAAACAGGTATAAACATAAAAGTATGTATCTTAAATATTTCATTTTTAGATTACAAATTAACAGTTTTAAATCATACTCTCCAAGCCTATCGAGAGGCTTGTTGTCCAGATACAGTTCATTTAGACTCTTACGCTATTCGTACGTTTGCTAAACAATTCAAAACACATAGTTCATAAGACACACAGTTGAGTTTAGTTGCTTTATCAAAGAGATGAAATTCATGGATATATATGATCCCTGTATTTAACAGAAGGATAGAACCAATTCAAATATTTCCTACTCATTGTTAAACAGAACTAGAAAACTATGTCATATGAGTGCGATATCACTTTATATAGAAACCAGAATATTTATAAACATGGATAAAATAAATAAGTAAATACAAACTGAAAGCAATTTAATAATACCTGTGACCCTGCTGCTGCATTATTAATCAGATTATTGTTTGGATGAGCAATCCAGAAAGTTGAAACAGCCCTGCAAGACATATTTTAAGGTGATTTAAAATACTCTCCATGAAAAATCCTGCCCACTAAAACCCTGCCCCAAAACATCTTGCCCAAAAGTCAAAGGGCTTGACCAACATGCAAGTTTTTCTCTCTGCCAGTTACTCACATACAGTCTGTGGAAGGCACAGGAATGTAATTTCCGAACACTTTTTCTCGCATGGCAATACACATGGAGTTATTCCTGTCAGTAGGGAGGAGGGTGCCTGGCTTGGTGAGAAGTCCCAGATTGTGAAACAAAGTATTTCTCTGTTCAATGCCATCCTCCAAAAAGAAACAATGACCTAGTGTGTCAAATCCAATAGTGTCTTTTATCTGCAGAAATACAAGTGTATAATGTCATTCGTAGCAAGATTGATTGTGGTTTAAGTAACAAGTACATTCAGTGTTGCATGCTCAGTATAAATACAAAAAGAAGTCTACATCTTAGCTGAATGACCAAAGTCAAATGTCAGAATTTATTGGTTCCTTCAGAGATTAATTTGGGTGATTAAAAGAAGTGGGCTTCCTCCACTCAGCAAAACAGCGGAATTCTCAGAAAAGCTGGATACAGTAAGGCATGTGGTGCAACAGCTTAATTACATAAAGTTGAGGAGCCATGAGAACTTACAGCTTCAATAATGTGCATCAACATAGTGGGAGGTGACTCACCAGCAAGCCGTTGGTCCCATGCACAGTGATGCACCTAGAGAAACTGTGATGAATGGACAAGCCGTCCACAAAGGTCCCGAGCCTGTACCCTCCTTTATAATCCACATCTCCACACAGGTGAAAGTGAACAGGATAGCGTCCCAAGCGCTGCTGACCCATATGTTTCAACTCTACATAAGACAGATGGACTGAGGTAAAATTTTTCCTTATCTGTAAGGAAAGATAAATGAAATCAAATGGCAACATTACAGAATAGAAACATAGCCTACTGGAAAAGGTCTGAAGGAGAATATACATCAAAAATGTTTTCTTTTGAGTGGTACTTTTCCCAGATCTCTAGTTAGGAAATTAGTAAAGGTTTCTTTATAGTGGTGAATAGTTTAGAAAGCTAGCCAGTTGCTTAAATAGTCACTGTGGGAAAGATTGTAGAGGATCTTTAAAAAATTAAAGTATCATATAATCTGGCAGTTTCACTCCTGGGATCCAAAGAAAAACGCTAGCTCAAAGGCTACTGGCATCCCTGTGGTCACAGTGTCAACACTTACAACAGCCAAGAAAGGGAAGCAAACAAAGTGAATAGATAAAGAAGTTGTAGTATATGTAGTTTAGATGTGTGCACAGGCACACACATTCAATAGTATATGCAACGTTATATTATACAGTCATAAGAAATGAGGACATACCATTTGTGACAATGTCGAGGAACCTTAAAGTCATTATGCTAGGTGAAATAAGTCAAACAGAAGAAGACAAACTATATAATCTCACAAGTGGAATTTAAAACAGAGGAGAGATCAGACTTGTGGTTACCAGAGACAGTTTGGGTAAAGGGGGAATTAGAAGGTGATCAAAATGTATGAGGTGACAGATATTGGTAAAATGTTATGTAACATAAAATCAGTACTAGGGATATAATGTGTGTAGTGACTATAGCTAACACCAGTTTATGATAGACAGGAAAGGTGTTGAGAGTAAATCCTAAAAGTTCTCATTATCAGGAGAAAAATACTTTCTGTTTTCACTCTATTTCACTATGTATGAAATGATGGATGTTAGCTGAACCTATGTGGCAATCAAGACAAATACACAATCAAATATATGTAAATCAAACCATCATGTTGCATGCCTTAAACTTATACAGTGATGCATGTCACTTATTTCTCCATAAAACTGGGGGAAATAGTCTCTTATTAGGAATAAAAGAAAACATAATCGGGAAGTCTACAGCAAACTTTTTGCTTGTGTGTTTTGATTTGTTCAAATATTCTGCCTCATTCTTTCATTTCTATAAATTCCACTGTAGTGCTCTACTGAACAATAGTTATTTCTGAAATCCTTTCCTGATGTTTTAGTTAGCATATAATATTTCAGTGTTTTTCTTTAAAGTCCTCTATTTTAATACCCTCACTATTTTCAAATGTTGGATTACTTTCAATCATATTGCTAAAAACAAACGGATAATACTGACCAACATTTCAGAAATATTAGTAACAGAAATGCTGTTAACAGCCAACCTACCCACTGTACAAAAAAATGACTTTAAAGCACTAACCAAAATGCAGCCCATAAATTCAACAGATTAGCACTTAGAACAATGTCCACCACTATGTAAGTGTTCAGAATTTAACATAATAACAATCTGCATACAAAAAATATCTTTATATTATATTTGTATGTGCATATTAGCACTGCTTACCTTTTGATAATATCATGTGTTAAAAAGAACCAACTGAATCTTTCAGATATTGCATACCTGGGTAAGGTTATTTTCTTTTCTCTGGTTCTTTCCCATGTAGTGATTTAATTCTTCATGAAACAATACCTAAGTGGCCTAATTTTAGGCACAATCAACCAAATGAAGTTATCTAAATCTCACTATCATTTGAGAGAGAAATGAAATTCTTTTTAATATTCATATAGATCTCATTCTAAAACTTGAATGGGCCTTCAAACACGTATTTAGAACCAGTATTTCAATGAACTCAACAAATCTTTTGCCTACCATGACATGTCCCCCAAAGGTATCATAATCAAAGAATTGGCACTGGTTTCCAGCATAGCATGAATCTTCCATTTCTCCTCGGATCAGAACATTTCGGGTAAGAATTCCAACCTCAGCTCTCATGTCGACACCATCAATGATCTCACCCATGTGCAGGAATTGAGGAGTTTCTGGTTGATGTGGGTAAGGGGAAAAGAATATTATAACAAAGAAAACATGAAACTTACGTAAAAACAAAAAAAGCCAGTTCCCTGGGGTTTATTTTTATTCCTGGGGTTTATTCTGAAACCCCATGAAATTACCACCACCCTTGTCCTTCCCTTCTTTTCCTCCTCTCTCCTCTAAATGTGTTCTGTGCCCCCAACTGAGGACACATTAAGAACCAGATGCATAGTGATACAGAAAAAAACAAGGCTTTGTAGATGTAGATAATAGAGTGTCCATTTGTTTTGCTTTTACTTCAAAGTTAATGTAATATGTACTTGAACATTAATAGTGCAGAAATTATCATCTTTGCTTTCCTGCTTTTTATTATGCATTCTTTTAAATTCCCACCTATAAGAGAAGTTTAGAAGCACTTTAGTAATAGGTTTATTCTGATGCTTTTATTAAATAAACTCAGGGGAAATAATACAAATAAATCAAGAGTTGAGATCATAAGAATTCGTTATCATGTAGACTTGTTAACAAGACTGGGAATTTTTAAACAAAATTAATGCCAGATGGTATCAAATTTTTTTTGTTTGCTATCTGTTTATACTCTGTATTATCAAGCAAGAAAAGTGCAACATGAATACAGAGAAAAACTGCCAAGTGAGTCAATCATCCTACTTTTTTTAAAAGCACAAACATTTCCCTTAAACTTTAAAGGTCTAAATAACCCACTGAGTACTTATTAAACGGTTACTGTAAACACTTTTGTTTTCTACTACAAATGTATAATCTTGAGTACAGAAGGAAAGAAAGCAACATAATGAGTGAAATATCCAATGAATCCCATAATTAAGGCAACATATGAAGAAGCCTTGCCCAGTACCAGGCGCAGAACCAGCTTCTGGTAAATGTCAGTCATTGTTTCCAAACACAGTTTACAGTAAAAATCTCAAAGTACCTTGCTCCTCAAAAAACATCTTATTCAAAATTATTATAAATAATGTTTTTATGAAAAATGTCCTTTGGCTTCCAGTTTACATACTAGTAAGATCTACCTTTTGACAAAGAGGAAGATACTCCAAATTTTTTTTTAATTAAAAAAAGCTTTTTTTAATTAAAGAGAAAGATTTTTATTTAAAAATAGATCCATTTGATAGTTGGGTTATTATTTGAAAATAGAAAATTCTTAAGAAAGAAACTGAGAATAACCTTGGACGAAAAAGTCATCTAGTCAATATCTTTATTTTTCTCACACACACACACACACACACACACACACACACACACACACACACACACAAATACTGATTCATCTATTACATGACTACCAGCAACATTATTGCTTAATAACTATTTTTATCTAATATCCTCTGGGATCCAATGGCCATATACCCCACTGCTAAGACCACAAAGGCTGGTAATGGTGATGGTACATTAGCATCAAGGAGGAAGAGAAGGATGACTGGGAGAAAAAATAACTCTAAGAATCACATCTTAGAAAAGAGTCCCTCCCAAGACGTAGCTGATACCTTTGACCTTGACCTGGAAGCGACTGCATTCGGGACAGGGAAGAAGGGTGAACTCTTCCGCTTGGTACATGGAATAGTCTGTGCTTGCAACCACAATCTGGTCTCCAGCCTTCCAGCTACTCACATCATCCAACAGATGAAGTTTCACTCCATCTACGACCTCTACTCGAAAACCTGAAAGAGAAACTCCTAAACCAAAAGGTAAGAAAGTGATGCATTAAGATTTTTTTCTTTCTAAAGTCAATTTCCCTAGAGTCACAAATCCAAAGTTACAATAAACAAGCCAGCAAATGTTTATTAACCATGTGCCAGTCATTCTGCAGATATTAATACTAAAAAGATGAAAGTATAGCCCCTGCCCTCAAGGAGAGAGCTCCATACATCTCTAACCACGAAAAGGCCATGTGTTACTTCAGTTAGTCATTCTTTTATGATTTTGAAGAAGTCTTTCATTCCCCAAATCTCTTGCTATATTTTAACTCAATGCCAAAATAATAATATTGATGACAAGCCATTCTAATGGAACATCTCACACTAGGGTAGAAACTGCCAGCACAAACAGATTTATAAGAAACGTGCCATGCTTTGATTTGATCCCAGAACAGAAGAAATTGAGCATTAGTGCACACACAATTGCTTTAAACAATCTTTTATTTTCATGTCTTTGTTCATGCCTTCATCTCTACCTAGACAGGCAAGTCAGTTGAGAAGGGAAAATACCATCTTTCGATGATAATTGTTTACAAAATATCTGTAGCACTCTATCATCCTTCCAGCCAATTGGCATACTACTCTGGGGTTACTTTATGATAATGATTCCAAGCGATGATAATAAGAGCAAAAATAAAACACATTTGATTCAAGGAATGAAAACGAGAAAAATTCAATGAAGGTAAAAGGAATGATATCAATAATGTTACAGTCTTGAATCAACTATCTTGGTAAAACCTAACCTGAGCGAATCTTGGATTCTGTTCTTTCCACATGATCTAGCCTTCCTGTTTCTACAAAGTACCCAAAAAAGTACCTAATAAAGTGGTATTTTAATGTTTCTTACATTCAGATAATAAAGATTATAATAGGATTTGTCCAAAAAAAAATCAATGACAGAAATAACTATTAAAAATAACAATAGCTAACAGTTAAGATTTCATACATATAACCTTTCATCAAAACAACTTTGAGAAGTAGGAACAAACAACTACATGAATTAAAGAAGAGAAGTGAAAGGTCAGGGAGTTTCAGTAACTCTTAAAAAATGATATAACCCATAATTAAATGTTAATCTAGTTCCCAGAGCCCAGTTTCCTAACCTCTATATTATTCTGCTTTCCCAAGAATAAAGACAGAGAAGTTGAGAATAGAGATTTCATGATAGCAGCATCACTACCCAAAACTGCAGGTTTTTACCTCAAAAAAAAATTTTAACAGGGCAACTAAGAATTACTAATTTTTCATTGAAAATTTTAATACTATTCAAAAGAATGATCAATAAATATGACTGCAACCAAAAATACTATTTAAAAAATATGAAGAAGTAAGTTTTGACTTTAAAAATTATTAGTATTTGTTTCTGGTTGGGAAAGGAATTCAGATCTGGATTACTCAATAATTCCTCGCTTCTCTCTGGCTTTCGAAGAAAATCTTGTGCAAAGTTATCTTTAGTAAAAGTTAGCACTACTGGACTGGGAGTATGGGAGAGAAGCAGTTCATCCTCCCTGCTTCCTGGACATAATTTCTAACTCTTGTAGAAAATGAGTATTACTGAGAATAAGAGACACAAACAAGACCCTGAAAAAGCTAGAATGCACCCTCTTCTGGAAATGAGTAGTCATCAGTAATGTTGAACTGGAGACAAAATTTCACTTAAAGAACACGTTGATTCAATTTGTCAGTAATTACCCTCTGCCTGGAATATGATTAAAAACAATTCCCCTAAATTCTTCCAACACATCCAAATTCCTGCTAAGAAATGCTTCTCATTTACCTCTTCTTTTTGCAAGAGAAAACCATAATGTATAAAAAGAGCAGTAGTCTTGGAAGAAGAAGATGATTCCTGCTTCCTCATTTATAGACGATACTAGCTGCTCACCCCAAACCCACAAGATTATGTAGAGGCAACGCACAAGTTCCTGTTACCAACCAGAACTCTAGCTGTTTGCTTTAAAGCAATTTCCTTATTAAGTACAATGACATGACATATACCATCATCAGCAAAGTCATGTTTGCATCACTGCTAAAATAGCTAACAAGTATTGTTCACCATAGATGGTATGCTATAAACTTCATCTGCTTGACATTTGACACTTAAATCACCCTTCAGCAGTAGTTTATATTATTACCATTTTACAAATGAGGGGTAGGAAGTCACATGCTCACTATCGTACAGCAAGGGAATGAATATGTGAATGAGTGCAGACACTGTGTCTCCAGGAATCCATTTTGTGTAACAATTTGCTGTACTGCCACTCAAAACAGTATGGGCCCAGCCTAAAATAAACCCTGTGAGATAAGTGTAGATGGAAAAAAGCACTTATTCATTATTCATTTCACATCAACAGACAGGATGCTGTCAACTCATAACTGCAGCCCCCCAAAATCTGGCAGCTAAGTGAAATTTAAAAAATTAAAAATTCTATAGCAAACATCCTTACATAAAAAAAGTCAGATGTACCTTTAATACTCGGTGATAAGCATTATTTGAACAAAGTATAGTTCTGAAAGATCAATTACAGTAAATCCACATGAAGAAAATGTAAAGACATAAGATAATTTTACATTATGTTGTTTAAGGAGAGGAAAACAAAAAAGAACAGCAGAGAACATGTAAGATAAAGAAATAGATTATTATGTACCAAAATAATGATCTAAGACTGATAGGATTGATAGTTAATTTCTCCTTTTGGTGTTTTCCAATATATCCATAAAACAAATGTACTTGCTAGATCATCAGGGAAAAACTGCTTAAAAGGATAAATTTGTTACATAGAATGCACTCAAAGGTACTATTTGCTGATAGATCTACATAAAAAGAAGATTCCGGGCCCTCCCTGGTGGTGCACCAGCTTAGGACGCAGCACTGCAAGCTGGCTGCAGCCACTTCAGTGCCAGTTCGATCCCCCGCCCCGGGGGTGACCCACATGGCTTGGCAGACCTCTCCTGACCCACCCACTGCTCCCCTCAACAGTGTACTTCACTGATCTGTCTGTTCTGCTCCCCCCTCTGTCTCTAGAGAATCCTCTCACCCACCACACCTCTGGATGTACCCTAGTTCTGTAAGCATAAATAAATAAATCTTTTTAAAAACAAAAAAAAGATACCAAGTATAAGCTTAAATTCACTATCACCAGAACATTACCAAAGAGATTTTAGGGTATAGCCTATCACAGCTAGATTGGTTAAATCAATACCCCCAAGAAATAAATCTATTGCTATTAATTAACCATTCTTTATGACTCAAGAAGCAAAAAACAAAGTCCAGAGGGTGTGCCCAAAGTAGAATAATAGATCATTCTCTATTCCCCAGTAGGGAAACCATAGGCTTCACCTTCAACCAGCTGTGAAAACTAACCAGGCTGTTTCTTGAATACAGTACTACTTTTAAAAATATCTATCACAATATTTACCAATATCTTACAAAATATAAAAGGAACTTGCCTACCTTCAATCCATTCACTGTAAGCTGTCACAGCGAACTTCTGACCCTCCACAGTATAAAACTCTCTTTGGGCAAGAGCCTTCCCTCCACTACTATGATTTTCATAGTTTCTCACAGATTCATTGCAAGAAGCAGTTCCACCATCAATGACACCAACCAAAGCCCAAGCTTGCCTAGAAGGAAAAGAGCACATGTATTTAATGATCTGTGATGGTACCACTCCAAATCCCTAACATAATGAATATTACAAGTGCTTTGAATGTGTTTTATCTCAACAATCAACACCTCTTTTCTATAACAGTTTGCAAGTCAGACCTTGACTGAAGTAAATGGTGTCACAGAAGGAAGTGTACCTGGATTTTACACCATTGTTTGTTCAGCTCTATAATGTGGAACATCAATGACTGTGACTCCCACAAATCACCTATTTCCTCAATACACATCATTTGTTTCACTAACGTTCAGGCCACAACCCATTTATTTTCCTTCTTTTAAAATGAGTATTTTTAGTGGTGAATTTAATACAATGCACAGATGATTTCCATTGAACCACAACTGAAACTGATATAATGTAATAATGAAGTGTTATTTCAATTTAGAAATTATTAAAATTTTCCCTCAGAAATAACAAGTATCATTTGCTCTCTCTTCAACTCCCCTTTCTGCAGTGTTCTAAAGTCTAGTTACAAAGGAGAATCAGAGTTTTAGGAGTAAATCAATGCTCAGACCCAGTCCAGACCAGTCAAAGTCTTGACAAGCAGAGGACCGGTTCCCGTATGCTTCAGTAGGCAACACAATCACCCGTTTGCTTGCTAAATCAGATTGCCAGGCCCCACCCATAAATTGTTTGAGGTAGAGCCAGAGAATTTGCATTTCTAACAAGTTGTCAGATAAAACTGATGCTGTGGTGAACCACACTCTGAGAAACTCTTAATTAGAGAGAGAGGTTAGAGGAGTAGTTACCACATATTAATTGCCTGGGGACCGTTGGAGATCCTGGTGTAAATGATCTCTGGTGGCCCTTGGTTTCCAGACTTTTTCAAAATCTCCAGTTGTGCAAGTGAGGTTGAGAACGAATGGACTACTGGTTTCTTCACATGCTTAAATCACAGCTATCCAATAGAGTTTAAGGTTTATATGCTACATGCTAATTCATTAAAAACAATGTATTTAGAAATTCTATTTTATTTCAGTGATATTATACATCCCAGGGGCTTACTTAAGCTTAGTGCCAAAATCAGTTTTTAAAAAAGTCAGAAAATTTGCTTCAAGAGTCCTGGTTCAAAACATGAGAAGAAAAATGTCAGCTTCCTAACTCTAGGGGAAAAAAGTACCAAATTTAATCTCTGCCAGACAGATGGCTGGATAGTCACAGATAAAAGTAACCAAAGCATTCCTACAGCCTTAAAATTTCCACACCCACCCCTGTGTGGATTAGCTGCTCTTTGGCTGACAATGTTTTAAGCTCTATTTATATTCCTTGATATAGTGTGTGTGTGTGGGGGGGGGGGGTTTCAAACAAAGAATGTCTCAATTTATTATCTCCTATTGAAGGAATGAGAGGAAAAAAAATAACAGAGGCTTCCTTTATTTACCAGAACTGCCTCAGCAACACTAAAGCTATGTTCTATTCTATTACATTATCTCCAAACACTCCGACTTCCCTCTTCCACTTGAGGAAAATTTTAAACATTATCTTCAAGTGGTATGTTTATGTACTTTGGAGATAAAGTCAAAGCAATGGAACACTGGCAGAGTCACAACTCTTAATTCCTTCATCAAATCAGCAGTGGTGTTTTAAAAGAAACTAGAAACCAGCAGAAAGAAGATCCAACAAAAGTCAAACAAAATATTTATAGTGTATGATTACACAAATCTAGAACAATTATTGCACGGAAGTGAAAAAATGTATTCCCTCATAATACTGGAGAATGAAACAAAGTGTCTAACTTTGGGGGGAAAAAAATCTTCATTCCTAATTTGTTGAATTATAGAAGTAGCCATCAAGGAATGGGTAAAAAAGGTTCAGAGAAGCATTTCTTATCATAGATCCAAACTGGAAAACCACCCAGGTGTCCAACAGCAAGCACACTGTGACACAAACAAAAATTTCACAGCAGTGAAATGAGCTAACACTACACGTTGCATAAATGAGGCTCAATCACAGAGTAGTGAGCAAAGAGGTGAGACACACAATACATCATCTGCTTCCATTTATATGAAGTTCAAAAACAGGCAAGCCTGAACCTTAGTGTTCTCCCGTATTTAAGAGAGCATTTACCTTAGGTGAGGGGACCGGGTTATCTATGAACAGAGGTGCAGGGAGGAAGCCCTTGCAATGCTTTATTTCTTGACCTGGGTGGCAGTTACACAGGTGTCATGCCGTGACAAATCATAAAGCCCAATATTCTTATTTTTAGCACTTTTCTGTATGCAAATTACATTTAAAAATAATTTTTTTAAAAAAAACCTCTAGGGTTTTGCACTTGTTATTGCCTCTGTCTGGGGAACCCTCCTCTGCAGCTTACACCGCTTACTCCTAACCTCCCTTCAGTCCTCTCACCTTTGGGAAGCTTCCTCCAAATCCCCAAATTGGCTTCTGGAGGCCTTCTATTTATCCTGACAGCACACCCTGTAGTTATAGCAAGTATTTATTTTATTCAGTTTACCCACTGAAAGAAAGGGGCATTAAGACAGTGTCTTTTCATCTAAGTGCCTCTGAGTGAGTGCTGGGCACTTAACACCACTAATATACTCACTAGATAAAAAGTCAAAAAAATTACAGACCCTTCTCCTTCATGTTTCTTCTTAACCTTCGCTAGAATTTCTGTACAAAACAGTCAAGGCCGACTAACAATGATCAAAGGAAAAAATTAACTAGATCATCTGAATGTGAGTTTTGAAGTTCTCACTTTTCACTGCAGATATCTTCTGAATTTACGCAAAACAATAAGCAGAATTCAAACTTCTGTTTTTTGTTTTTTTTATTTAATTAAATGTTGAGCCAGCTACTTCCCCAGGCTCAGGACTGTATGAAGAAATCGTGATTAACTGGCACAAGAATCACAGAGTAGAAATGAATGGATTTCTTTGCTTCCATCTGGCTCCTCCCGCATGTGCCAGGGGTCCACAGACATGCACCCATCAAACAAGCAGGTTCAAACTGACCTGCAAAAGATTTCAGTAAGAAAAAAGAAATTGGGCATGGTCTGCTCCCTCAGACTTTGAACGTAAGTTTCTCTAACCTTCACACAAAATTGAATCTGAAGTTTCCATGCAGATTTTCCTCAGTTAGCCTGAATTTCAGAAGGCAATGAGAAAGGAAGAATCTTCACGGCTTAACTGACTGTTTTTCAGTACATTTCTGTTCATAACCTTCCCCAAACCCAATGCTACAGTTCACAAAAGGCTTCACAAACCCAAGACCAGGAAAGAGCTTGGTATCCATATCCCACCCTTCAGTTCCATGTTTCAAAACAAGGTTACCAGACCTCCCAATGGTGTGGTCCCTGACATCTGAACTGGGCTACTTTTCATGGGGTTCCTTTCTCCTCTCACACATGCACCCCAACACCTAGCTAAGAAGGAAAGTACAAAGATGTGCCCACCTGTAGCCCAGGCCTTGGATCAGCTTGCTTCCTAAGCGGTCCTGGATCATTTGTATGGTTCCTTGTAAGAGGCTTTTGGCTGCTGAATCTCCAACAGCTATAGCAACAATTCGTCCTGGATCCTGAACCCTCAGAAATTCCTGTAGTCGTCTGCTCTCATTGTGGTATTCATGGGTATCGAACTTCACACTTTCCAAAACTTTGGCTGTGTCTTGATCAATGACCCTCACATTAAGACCCCTGGAAAAGTCCTTTTCAAAAGCATAGGACCCAAAGGTCAAGCCTGAGGAATGCAGAGTTCTCGCCAGCAATGTCCAGGATGTCTTCTGTGCCCCATGGAGCTCCAGTGTCCCTCCAGCCTCCACACCAATAAATTTTTTGCCAAATATTGGCATATTTTCACCTTCATCTGATTTGCCATACAAGGCAATTGTCGCTTTGGATTTATAGCGGCATTTTTCTGCTCCAATATGAAGCGCCCCACCATCCTTGATCAGGATGTAACGAGTTCTCAAAGTAATATTTCTGAATCCATCCTTATCATCCCCAAACACAAGCAGTCCTGCAGGAAGCAACACTGGTATGAGCCAAGCCATGATTTCATATTAACATGGAAAAAAAGACACTTCCACAATTAAGTTGCGAAACAGAATTTTATAAGCATCCACTTAGAAAATTGGTTTTCAAAATACAGAAAAGGAGGAAATGAAGATTTCATATTTCAACACATTAAAAATGCCTATTTGTGGGTCCTCACTGGTGATATAAAGGGTTAAATCTCAATACTATCAAGCTATCACCAGCCACTGCAACATGAGTTCGATCCCCAGCCAGAGAGGTGACCCCCCTGGCACAGCAGACCTTTTCTATCTCTCCTGCTGCTCCCTTCATCAGTATATTTCAGTGTATCTACCTGTTCTTCTCTCCACTCTGTCTCTGGGGAATCTGCTCATGCCCCTGCACCTCTGGCCTATACCCAGTTCTTATATGCATAAATAAATCTTTTTTTAAAGATGTCTAGTTGTGAATTTCAATTCATTCACTTTGGAAATAAATCAGTTTTACAAAATTACCTAAAAGGCTATAAATCTGAATCTCACTGTTACACATGTTTACTCATCACTCTCCGTAGTTGTTACAGATTTAGCTGTGAGACATCACACACCAGAATTCCTTTTCTATACAATCAAGAGTCTTGACTGGACTGACTTCTAAGTTTCTTCTGGCTCTTGAGTTCCATGGCTCTTAGGAGCTTTCCTATCTCCATGGTTACAGGATATTACATCCTAGGATAAGAAGTTTTCTGCATGAAGAACATCCAGTGATGTCCAGAGTAAAGAGCAAGTATATGGGCCAAAAGACACAGGGCTTCTTACCTCCATCTTGAATGACTAAAGAATCCACTGTGGCATCCGAGGTCAGACGGAACATATCTCCTTCCTTAATAACAACTTGCTTTGCAGGATCTTGTCCTGGATCCCAGTTCCTGAGACGGGGGTTTTGATCTGGGCAATTCTCTATAAAGCAATGCAACACCGATAACCCATCAACTGAACTAAATAAAAGACCCTTAACCAAATCTAAGTACTACCATCATTTACAGTAATGAGAGCAGATATATTTTAATTTCCTGCCATAGTACAGAATGTCCATCCTACACTGCAGACACCTGTCAAATTCCTTACTTTCTCAATACATAAAAAGGATTTCACCACAAAGTTTATTTGTTATCATCCAGTTCTGCTCAATCTCTAGAAGGTAAAATGGGGTTCCCCTGAATCATTCCCTTTGGAAATAAATCAATAGTAAGTGGCAACACTGTGACTTGCCCCTGGATCCATACTAGGAAGTTGTTTTAGAAAATATGTTTACAACAACTAACAAATAAAAAATGGAAACTACCAAGCAATATGCATATTAGGTCTTCCCACAATCCTCCATAAGCACAATGAATCATAAAGGAAGTAATAATAGTATCTCTTCCATTGGAAGGCAGCAGCTGACACAGACTGCTCTTTACAGGCAGGTATACTTTACCAACAAAACTGCAAGGGAAAATTGGTTAAAGGCATCAATTCTCATTTTCACCTTTGAAGAAACGACAGATCAGAGAAACTAAACCAAGAAAACAAGTTCAGTGATAAGGGTGTTTTTTTTTAGCTGGTAGTATTCCTTTACTAGAATTAGAATTTTCCCCTTGAATAGCTGTTGATGGAAATACAAGTATTCCACATTTAATGCATGAGGCTTTTAGCCATTGCTATAATTACAGTAATGATCAACTTATGACCAAGACTGATTATCAAATCTTTTACTCAATATTAAGATACTATAAAATGTATAAAGCATAAAATTTAACTTGTAAGCCCTCAGAGCTTATAATCCTTGGGGAGGAAAAAACCACTATATATTAAATAATAAAATAGGTACAAAGCTCAGGGAGAGGAAGGGTGGGGTGATATTAAATGAGGAATTTCAACTGACAGGTGACACAAGACTCTCAAAGGGTGGCAAAAACTTAAAGGACAAAGACAGTGGAGATAAGAATAACAGTAGTGTAAGTATCCCTTGTAATTAAAGTTCATTTGGTGCTCAAAGTAACAAGGTGTACTCTATGTTTTTAGCTAAGTAAAAGTAAATATAGCAAGAGATGATATTAACAAGATATGCTTGGGAATTATATGAGGATGTAAGATCTATCTTGAGGAATAATATGAGAAAAAAATAGACTGGGTTAAACACAAAGATAGTCTTTTACATGGAAAGATTTGATTCCTTATTTTGAACTTGCATAACAAGTCACTTACAAATGTTATTTCATTTCTAACCATTCATGTTGCTTTCTCTTTGAGGTTATTGTAACTACTAGTTAAAAATTGCAGTCACTGGTTTAGCCCTTGGCAATTACTTTAGGCAATTAATTTTTGTCATTGATATTTAATTCTAATAAATCAGAAATAATAACCTTTAAGCTTTTCTTCCCATTGAAAAAAGAAATCTTTTGCATTTGTTCTGACTTAATACTGAGAATTTCTTGAACTTTTTTCCTACCTTCCAATTGTCCCAGAAAACATCTAGCTGGAATTCTCCACGATGCCATATCAGAAGCAAAGGCTTATCCTATGTACCAAGTGCTGGACCCAGTTAGAGAGAGGGAGATCCAGTTTTTTGAGATCTAAGGTCTATTACAATAGTTTTATAATTCTACTTAATTATGCATAATTATTCCCCAGAAGAGCATGCTTCATTAGAACTATCACCAAAAATTCCAGTCTGCTTCCTTCCAGTAAAGTATACTTAGTGAGAAAATATGTGGGCTACAGAATGCATTAAAAAATAGCTCAGTGTCAGGATGGCCGAGTGGTCTAAGGTGCCAGACTCAAGGAGAAAAAAAAAAGTAGCTCAGACAGGCCCACCTTCCCAGTTATCAGCTGGTTGGGCAGTAGGTGCATCGTCAAAGCCATGGAACAGATACAACCACAGGGAGGTTGACCCTGAAATAGCTTAGCATACCAGATCTTTCCACTGATACTTTCTTTGCACTTAGACTACCAAATTGTAAAACTCTTGAATGCTAATTTCAGGAATCGCATCAGTTCTTAGAACATGAAACAGCAATTAAAGCCACAGATTTCAGCCCTGGTTTTCAAACAATCTAGCAAGCCTTTCCAGCAGATTACTTGGGAAAGAATGACTCATTAGTAGTGCACTTGGTTACTCTGCTGGGGGGGGGGGGGGG